AAGAAATGACAGGAGAGGCTCTACAGTCAGAATTAGAGGATCGAGAAGAATCTGTGGTGCAATTAGAATCGAGATTCCTTGGAATTGTTTAGCTCGAGAACAGGCCATTGAACGTCGGAAGGTGACGCTGGTCGAGGACAGTGGCACCTGCCAAAAAATCAGAGCCCCCTTTTCGGCTGGCGCCAGCAGACGAATGCACGTTTGTTCGAAAGAGAGCCGGTGTGTGTCGCGTGTACTCCTCTACACGCATAAACGAACGAACGCACCCGATGTATAGGTGCACACGTGGGCCAGACTTAACGAAATCTGGCCAGATGTCTATTCGGAACGTGGTGCAGGTCGGCGCCACGGACAGACAAACAGACCCACCAAGTGCGTGCCGCACTTTGCCGCACTTGCGTGCACTTGTGCACGCGCGTAAATGCCCCTGCACACGCGGTCTACCTTGATCCGTCGGCTTTTCGCCCGATTACGCGGCCTCGCGATCAGATGCCAAAGACTCGATCGATGCCGATCGATCGATCGCTTTCGCTTCTTTTCGAAAGGCTGATCGGTTATTTCTGAACAGCGCGGGGACGAAAATATTCGTCCTCGAACGAGCGAAGCGTGGATACGGAAAAGCCTACTTTTACCGAGCACTCTTCAAAGCCGCGCCGCGATAGCGGATGCAGCAAGTTGAGAACAGCAACGTCTACGCCAATGAGCGTGCAGGGATAGCAGGATATGGTACTTCGTAGGGTGGTGACTTTCGGTTCGACTACCAACGGACTCTCTTTCTAGGACGATGGATGCTTGTCTTTCCGGTGAACCATACTGCAAGCATTCCCGAGCATGAGACACACGCGTCTACTCGTTTTTGTCACCCATGCGCCTGCAGCAAACTCGACACGCGTCCAATATCGAATCATTGAGAAACATTTTTCTTATCGATTGCAAGTCTCTGTCTTATCGGTAACCCAGTTCTCGCACCGGCTAATGGACTTTTGCTCTTCCCCGTGGATTTATCGGTACCAACCGAACGACAATACGGTCGCGCGAGAGAAATGCATGCAGGGGCAGAGAAAGAGAAGAGGATAGTTTCAGGGCGATGGTGTTTCACGGTGTGGCAAATTCATATCGACCATAACGGGAGCGCGGCGAATGGCGGCGAACGTTCGGTAACGAGGGACTTGCATTAGTCAGGAATTCGAGTCGTATCGTTTCGCCAACTTCAGGCAACCCCTTTTGCTCCGACTAGTCTACTCTCAACCGTCCAACGACTCTTCCATTTCAATAGTGAATTTCTATGCTGCTCCTGCTGTCCCGAGAGATATACGCGATTTTCAAACTTCCCCGCGTTAGTTTGATGCGGGAAAGATTTCGTCGGAGCTACCTACTATCATCGTTTTCCGCACAAAGCATAGAAACGTCCAAGATAGTTTCTTTATTCCAACGCCGACTCATTAGTCTCCTTATCGGACGAATTTTTATTCTTAACACAATAAAAAGATCTTCGGCGCAGAATTTGCGAAGAACGCAAAAAGATGCGAGACGCAATAAACGAGATTGATGAAAAAACAGACAGAGGGGGGAATTGAAAACCTCGACGGAGGAACGATTACGAATTTTTCGCCGGCGTATCGGACATAATAAGACGCGTGATAATGCGTCGAGATCGCGGCATGACCTATCGACACCGAGGCGTACACGCGTACGTTCGTAAGAGGGAACGAGATGAAAAGCGTGTAGAATCGCGGGCAGAGAAGGAAAGGAATAGAGGATCGTGATCGGAAGAAGGAGAATGCACAGTGGGAGGATGCTGGTTGTCGGAGAAAGGGATTCGAGTTAGGGCGTCGAGGGATGAGGGGTCGAGGCCGAGAGGGGTGGAAGCAGATGCTCATCGGGCCCCTGCTGTAAATGTAGATTATGCTCATCCTTGATTTGTGTGTGCCACACCACACGTCCCTACATGCAACGCGCTTCGGACTTGGCCTTTCCTAAACAGACAATCGAAAAGTGCTCGGACACGGGAAACGTTCTTCCTGATTTACTTCCAACTTCCGGGATGCGTCTCTTCGAGCGAAACTGTAGGACATGCACGTCCATTTATTCCCGACAGTATACTAGGTCTACCTTTGAACAACATTGAATTTTACCCTCTACTCGCACGGCAAAGGGTTGAATCTTCCGAGATGTCGAAGAAACAAGGCTAAATTTTACCACCCAGTTAACAATTACTAAGGGATCGTTAAATCCATGTACATTATATCGAGGAGGACGATGCGGAATTTTCATAAGACCATTTCGATCCGAAAGTCGTGTGCGAGGCGCGTGTACGGCCAAAAATCGAGACGAGTGAAAGAGAAACGAAGTAGAGGGGTGGGTAAAGAAGAGGAGGACAGGAAGAGTGGGATATAGTGGGAGTGAGAAAAAAAGAGAGAGAGAGCAAGAGGCAGGTGCATCACGGTGACACTCCCTCGATAATTCTCCGGAGAAAGAGAGAAAGCCGATGTAAGAAGGGAAACAGAGACAAAATTATGAGCTGAAGTAGAGATGAAGGGAGGAAGGAAAGAAGGAGAAGCAAGTCACGAGTGTTGTGTCTGGAGCTCGTTTATGGTTGTTCGTTCAAACTCTCGCTGGAGGGAACGAGAGTTTCAGAAATGGTTCCTCGGGGTCAGATCGAATCGCTCGCATTTCCCAGCGAGACCAGGTTAGTCTTCGGAATACCTACAAGTCGCGAGGATCCATCGCCACCCCCCGTTTACGAGCTTTTCTATCGATGCGATCATTCGATTCCAGCGGATGCAAAGAAATTGGCCATCGGAAAGGAAGGATTTCTATTTCTGCGTAGAATTAATTAACACCATCGAGAGTTAACTAACTGTTTCTTTTTGAGGAACCTGTTACGGCCTGGCCGCTGCTTCGCGATACAAGTGCTTCCCGCTTCAGGTAGATTTACTCGTGAGTCACCGTCCGATAATTTTAGATCGAATCGGCCATTAAAATCTTACGCCCGTGTTTTACGCTCGCATTACACGTAATTTCGATTCGGTCGCTCGTTTGCCCGTCGACCGCACCGGGAATCGTAATAGATTTCTACGCAATCGTACGAACACCCAGGAAATTCATAGTTCCTCGTGTTCCCCTGTATTTTCATCCGAATATAGTTTCAATCTACCAGACTTTCTTCAATTCTCCAATCGAGGTGTGAACAAATTACCTGTACTTGCGAGCCCGTATTCTTAGATACCCTTGGACTTGAACGATCACCCCTTGACCCTTTGGAAATTGGACAATGAACGGGGACGAGGTCTGGGTTACGATTCGAGGAAAGCAGAGCGACTATCAGACAGTTGTGTACACCGCGTTTTCGCCGAGAGTGGCAATCGTTGAAATTAACCGGCCGAAACGAGCAAAGAATCAACCGGACTGCCGGCAATTGGCGACCGCCTCGTCGGGACAATTGACGCTTAACGAACCCGACACCGCGCGTTTCAAACATTGAAATATAAAATGAGTAAGATCGCGATCGATCTTGTACAACTGATACAATATTTTTCAAATCGTTTTATCCGTTGGGTAAACATCTCGTTAAAATCTACACCCTGTTTGTATATTAATTACAAGCACTATCGCTCGATAATCTGGACTCTTGTATCAATTAAACTATTAATGATTTTTATTGCTTAATGATCGTTAAAGGGTAGGATAGGAAACCAACCCCTTCTACTGTTCACCAAACATTCTCAAAGTAAACAAACACCTGAAACTCGATTGGCTAACTATCCTAAAACATGCGAATAATCGATTCCCTTTGATCGGGAATTACACGGGGATTTGATCGTACACCGGCCAGCAAAATATTAACAAAAATTATCGACGTTATCGCAGATAAATCAAAGCTCGCCAATGCCACGGCGCCAGATAACATCGTTTTTCGAAAACAGATAAGAATATTCGACACACCACGAGCGTCGATAATCGCACCGACGAAAAATATGTTATAGACACGTGCCTGAAACTGACGCGTTTAAATTGTCGCGGAAAACAAATGAGAACCGCTTTGATACGATTCGTATAGCGGTTATGGCGAATCTCTTTACTGGGTAACGTTTTTCTTTCTCTCTCTCTCTTGGGCAGGTGTATATAAAGAGAGAAATAAAAGGAAAAATAACACGCAAAGTCCATTCTCCAAGAGACCTTCCAGGGCTATCTGCCAAGAAAAAGAATCGAATTTATGGTCTCTTACATTACGTTCGAACGATTAACCTCTAACGATTCCAGCGTCGTCGCCGCCGCGGGGACACGTGGTACACGAGCGAAGCTCGCCCAATCATCGACCAGATTTTAATTTGAGTCACCCGTGAATGATACACGATGTTAAAACTAATAAAACCATTTGACAAAATATGTAAGAGACTATATTCGATAATCTTGAAGCTTCTTTTTCACGGTTTCAACCCTTCAAGTGTCGCAATAGTCACCGAAAAGCTGTTGCACATGACAGCAGTGAGAGAGCGACGAGTCTCTGATATCTAGGTTATGTCGACTATATTTTCAGCGACGAGTACGCCAGTCGAGCGAAATAAACGCGTTTTCCGTGGAATACCGAATGAAAGAATGATAATAAGGATGCAAGCAACACAAGGAAGAACAGATCTTTCCCGGGGGTTAGTTCACTACGACGGGGCAGCACTGTCCAAAGCACTGACAAGCAAACCAAAACACAGGACGGAACGAGTCAGTCGAGAGATTCATCCGGCACGGTCCTCGAGAAAATTGAGAGAGATTAATCGTGCGATGCACAACACTAGGGTCAGCTTGCACCTTGCAAAGATTAACCGTTGACACAGAGGAAACACCAAAGGAACGCTGGCAAGATTGAATGTACGGTGCTTAGCGAGAGACACTAGACACAAGAGACTCCTTCGTCGCTCTATTTTCACACGGCACACGCACAGCACAAAATTCTCGCGATTTCGATAGGGTTAAATAACTGTTTCATTACTGACGGCACTCACCGGGGTGCTTGTTGGCGATCTTATTGAAGCAGTTTTGAAAGACCTCGTAGAGATGCATCGGCTCGTCGTCGCTGGCCGCCATGTTTTCACGAGACGAGAAAACGAGTGGACGTCCGTGGTTGAGGCGAGTGGGCACGGTTTCGCGGTGTGGCCGCGCGTGGAGCCACCCTCCTCCCGGAACGGTCACGCACACTACTGAACCACACCGCCTCACCGATGCGGCCCTTATAGTCCATCAGTGGCGCCACCCTCCTTTCCGATGATTCGCGCCACTGTCGCTACGCGGTCGTTTTGAATATCGTTCCTCGCTCTTTCAGCACCTTTAAAAAACAAACGTGCATCGATCGTTTAATACACTACAATAATAATTCTCAAACTTCATTAAAATGATCAATAAAATTTCTTCGTGTTTCAAATAGAAACGGTTTATAAAAGCCTAGGGAACATAAACATTATATTCTAGCGAAAATTTTTATTCGTATGTTATAAATACAATCATAGAATAAATATATAAAGTTAACTTAAAAAACGTTTGAGATAAAGTTTATTATAATACAATAACAGAACTTCTCGTCATGGTGTGTTCAGACCCAGATATTAGTAAAAATTTGCTTTTATATTGCAGCGAATGCAATTGTTGTTAAATTTAAAAATATAGAGGTATTAGAAACTGACTTAGTGTGTCGAGACTATGCGTGCGCGTACCTCGTACGAGTTAAACTAAATATAATCGTTATATCGCGTAATTTTGGACGTATCAGATTTTAAAAAGCGTCGCGTTATAGCTTTAAACTCCAAGAAAATCAGAATTTTGTGCGATCGGGTGCGATATGTCCTCGTAATCCTGTCGGCCAAGGCCTAAAATACAAAAACGTAGATAAACGTCTGTCACCTGTTCTCAAAATCATAAACCACATAGACGGGACAATACACTGGACAGTTCACAGTATTTGAACATAAAACGATTGCATCCATATGCGGCTTATAATAGTTAAAGCGGCATAGAAATAAAACGTAATGCGCATATTTAAAAGAATTTCATGCACCTACATAAAGCAAAACCTTGAAGAAGCAATGTAGCAGCTCTACAAAACATGGATTTGTACCCAATGCTTTACTGACCCATCGCAGGACTTGTAGTAAACATTGTGGCTAAACATCCGCCTCTTGCTTGGCCTATTCGAAGAATATATACGCTCGTGATAATGCGCACAATCATGTTTATGATCATAATTGCTGCGCTAAACTTCTCAGATGCATCTACAAGTTTGTGCGATCAGATAGATACATCTTCTGTTTAGGGAGGTTAATCGATCATGTAATATTTGAGGCTATAAGTGTTAGTTGCAAATCAAATAATATTTACAGCTAACTTACATGTCGGTGGAAAGTAGACTGCTAACGTTACAACATCAAAAAATATGGAAAGTACATTTATAAACAGTGCCTAAAATATAGAACTCTATTACAGAGACATACAAAGTAGATAAGTAATAGATAATAAATACTATTTGCTTACAAATTGTAGTGGTTCATCCGATTCTATAGTGTGAACAGCCCACATTAAGCAAATGAAGAAAAGAAAATTATAAAACATTACCGATTTAGGACACCAATGTCCCTGAATACCCCTAAAAATTCAGTTTTTAACTATATAATGCACATATCACATTCCACTTATCATAGTACTTTGTAGTGTTTGTAATTAGAAAATAACATACAGTATATATAACATATAATTTATCCTTACCATGTTACTAGCACTAAATGAATTGCAAATATCACCTGAAAAAATCCGACAAGATCATAAAAAATGATCTCAAAGCATAAAGTCAGTAAGTTATCTAAGTTATAATTCGTGATAATACATTTGTGGTAATACACAAGCCACCTTGATAATATGAGAAACTTGTCAAGCAGGTTATGGAATTCCTTTGCAGGATGCCTTCACATAACTACATTTTATTTTTTAAAGCGTTAATCATCGAAAGAATTACGTAAACAATCTTACAAAGTGTAATTATAATTTTAGGGGATTATCTGACATATGTTCCGGTAATCGGTCACGCTAAATGTCAGACAGAAATATCCGTACGCAAACGCGATGAGGAAAAAGCGATGAGAAAGTGAAATATAGAAGAACAAGAAATTACAACGTGCAGCTTATTAAAATTTGTAGAAAAAGGCATAGTTTTTTAATAGAAACTTTCCAAGTTCTGAAGATAACAACGTTCAATGATATTTACCTTTAAGGGATAATGAGATATACTGGACATGTCCGGCATTTCTAAAGCTTTGAAATACTATTAAGGCTCAATGCAAAACTACTTTCGACCCTTTACTTTTATGACAATTGTTGTCGAATATTATTAATCGAGACACGCCTATTATTCTAATCACGTTTATCAAAAACCTTCTGAAACTCCTCCTTCGAAACGTTCCATCGACGCAACACAAGATGACTACTGCGCACTGATGTATGCGCACTGATACATGCGTACTAATGCATGCGCAATGACATCTACCGCAAATATGGTGGTATTACCCATTAGACGAGATAGGACCAACCTCCTTATGCCTTTAGAGTACTTTTACCATCTTTATGTCACATTCTACAATATCAATGGCGATTGATATTTTACCCACAAATATTCGACTTCTTTTAATTACCGTACGATACTACTTACAATGAAAAGTTTGCTTCATTCTACAATCTTTCGATAAATCAACCACGATTTTAAATTACTAGCGCCAAAAATTGAATGCTATTCCTCATCGTCAGTGAATGACTCATCCAACAATGAATGAGTTCACTGACGATGAGATGGCACTGTGGTTCACTCCAAAAAAAATGAATGGTATTGTTGTGCACTTCAATGCGGCACGTGTATAAATTGTTGTGAGTAAAGTGCGACAAAGTAGATAGTTGAATTAAAACACCTTCGATAAAATATGCTACGAAATTGTAATTTTTTAACAAAAAACTTGCGCTACATCGCAAGAGGGTTTCACGATGAAGGTACTGTTATCGGCAGTACGCATGACGCCAACTCGTCAGAATACCAGGTTAGAATGATAATACAATAGGCATGTATTTCATTCCTAAAACAAGATTTCTGGAACTTATACATTCGAATTTTCATTTTCGATCAACACTACCATACTGTTTTAAAAGCGATACGGGAAATGTTGCTCTATTAATGGAGCGACCTCCGTTATCATTAGAGCGAGATAAAATAGAAACTTTTTATTAAAACCCATTCGAACTTGTGGTGGCGCAACTGGTCGCGATGAGCGCGAAAAGTTTGAAAACTTCTTTCCCTCACTGAATCGAATGAAATTTGTAGGAAAATTATATTCAGATGAAAGCTGTGGTGGACACGTTAAAAGAGACGGTCGGAAAAATCGTAGAAGGTGGAGGGCACAAGGCAAAGGAAAGACACACGAAAAAAGGAAAACTATTACCACGAGATCGAATTAACAAGCTTCTTGACCCAACATCTCCTTTTCTCGAATTTTCTCAATTAGCAGGTTACGAAATGTACGAAAAAGAGGAAGTACCAGCAGGTGGAATAATCACAGGCATCGGTAGAATAGAAGGGTAAGTATCATCTACTTTCGATACAAGAAATAAAAAAAAAGATACCCTAAAAAGAAAAAGGACCTTTACTTGTTAGAACCGAATGCGTGATAATTGCAAACGATGCGACCGTGAAAGGTGGCTCTTACTACCCAATCACTATAAAAAAGCATCTAAGAGCGCAGGAAATCGCAGAAGAGAATGATTTGCCCTGTATATATTTAGTAGATAGCGGTGGAGCAAATTTGCCCAGACAAACAGACGTTTTTCCAGATAAAATGCATTTCGGTAGAGCGTTTTACAATCAGGCAAACATGAGCGCAAAGGGGATCGCTCAGATCGCCGTGGTCATGGGAAGTTGTACAGCAGGTTTGCATTTCATTTGTTCGTACAACGAAGAAATATTTTGCCTCGATGCTATTCTATTTAATTTTCATTAGGAGGCGCGTACGTGCCAGCTATGGCGGATGAGAACGTGATCGTGGCGAAACAGGGTACCATCTTTTTAGCGGGACCACCGTTGGTGAAAGCATCGACGGGTGAGGACGTTTCCGCCGAAGAATTGGGTGGTGCCGCGCTTCATTGCCGGTAATTTAGGAAATACACTTGAACGTATAATCTCTTTCACAACTAAAATCGCAGAAGTATAATTCCAGGAAGTCTGGTGTTACCGATCATCAAGCCAAAGACGACAACCATGCCCTGTATCTAACTCGTCAGGTCGTCAAAGACTTGAACAGACAGAGACCTATGCACGTGAATTTAGGGAAACAGATCGAGATACCCGTACATGCTATCGATGAAATTTATGGTATCGTTGGTACCAATCTGAAGCGACCTTACGACGTGAGAGAAGTGATCGCGAGGATCGTTGACGGCTCCAAGTTTCGCGAATTCAAAGCACTGTATGGGGAAACCTTGGTTACAGGATTCGCGAGGATTTACGGCTATCCCGTAGGAATAGTCGCGAACAATGGGGTGCTGTTTTCCGAGAGCGCGTTGAAGGGTGCACATTTCGTGCAACTTTGCGCTCAAAGGAAGATACCACTTATTTTCTTACAAAACATTACAGGTACGTTTCGTTGATACTATGGGGTTGTAATCCTGATTGATACATCTTACGATCACAGGGTTTATGGTGGGTAAGGAGGCGGAAGCTGGGGGCATCGCCAAAAACGGAGCGAAAATGGTGAACGCCGTGGCCTGTGCCAAAGTACCGAAAATTACGGTGATGATCGGAGGCTCCTATGGAGCTGGAAATTATGGTACCACTCGCGCTGCTGAATGATTATTCGAATTTTTACACATTCTTTGATATCCCATTTTTAATACAGGCATGTGTGGAAGATCCTACTCTCCGAGATTCGTCTATTCGTGGCCTAACGCCAGAATATCCGTGATGGGAGGGGAACAAGCTGCCGGAGTGATGGCACAAATTACGAAGGATCAACGTGCACGGGAAGGAAAAGAGGTACTAATTATTTGTAATTCTTTGCTTTCGATTCAACGTTAATTTTGATATGTCGAACAGTATACCACGGAAGAAGAAGAGAAATTGAAGAAAACGATTATCAATCAATTTGAAAAAGAAAGCAACCCGTACTATTCTAGTGCCAGGTAAGTGTAAGTTTAATTGTAACCAGAAAGTTTGCATATCTGTGCACTTCAATTATTTTTTAGACTATGGGACGATGGAGTGATCGATCCTATCGATACCAGAGTGGTACTCGGTCTCAGTTTATCCGCTGCACTGAACGCGCCCGTACCCGAAAGCAATTTTGGAATTTTTAGAATGTAATATACGTTTAATATTATAATGTCAATGATCTGAAACGATGAAAGTATAATCAGGTTTACTTCTGATCCGTTATTCTTTGTCTATTGCTGTTTTATATCAAAGATTTATATATGTATATATATTTGTTTTTATACGGGATTATTGTGTATACATGAGCATTAAACATTCCAAGTGTATGCATATCGTGTACGTTTCTATGCATTTTCTTTATTAACCTTCTTTCTTTCTTTCTCTCCATAGGCGATTATAAAATTAAGATACCTCTTCACAGAGGCGGAGTAATTAGTACGCGTCCTCCACGCGTTCGTTGTCGCTTTATTAAGAGTTATTTTACACTTGCGCGTTCCGTTATAATTATATTGGGATCGTAGCAGCGATTAATTACCTCGTAATTGTCTAAGTTGCTTAAGTCACATAGCATTGTTACACCTCGTCGCGCGACTAGGTCTCTTCGGTATTCTCCGCTCGCAAAGGCCAATTTTCTTCTGGCAGCATAACGGCTCTGTTATATTGTATAGTTATTCGCGAGCATTACAACTAAGGGGCGTAATAGTACGAAAAAATGATACGGAATAGAGATAAAGGAAAGGGAACGAGCGAAAATCTGGCGGTCGCAGAGCGGAGAAATCTCACGAGCCATCTCTCTTTGCAAAATTGATCTTTCATGTATTTTTCAGAAAACTCCACTGACATTTTCGAGGCTTGGAAGTTAACATTGTTCGAAACTTTTTAAGAAAGCTTCGAACAATGTTAAGCGAAAGAGGCAGTCGGTCATGTCGTGATATCACACAAAGTGGGTGACGTTAAGGTGTTCGATAGTCACCGTTTCTTTTTAAGTAAACAGAGTAAGAATTATACTAACTTCCGGCGAGAAATTCGGCCGATTCTCCTCCTTGCGTCCCGAATTTCCCCGGCTTCTCAAGCTCTGCGTTCTATTTACAATTAGCGATCGTTTGTCAGCTCCTGAATCGTTCCTCCTGAAACTTACAGAAAATTGCGGAGGCAGAGGAGGAGGAAAAGAAGGGGTAAGGTCACCGTTCTACACGACGAACCACTCGTCTCCGTCTCGGTAAGCTTGTACTTGAAATGTTCTTTGACTTCTTGCGCTATGAAAGCTCTCTCTTCGGTCCTGATGGTCGTCGGAGCCGGTTGTTCTCGGACTTCTTCGGCGATAACAGCTCTCGCTTTCGTCCTGTTCTTCCCTCTTCTGATGTACATTTCAGACAAGGCTACCCGAGAAATAATTAATCATAAACGATGTCACAAATCGAAGAAAATTACCTTCGAGAGACATACCTTTATCCACCACAGCGTCCTCTTCGAAATCGACTTTGATCAAAGCGGACATTGTCACTTCGAACAATTTGTTCTTATCGGTATTCGACACGTTTATGGCTCTTCTTTTCCTCCCAAATCCTATTTGATTGTTGCTGCACTCGATCTGTAATACGAAGTCGAAGAGTCATTGAAATGAAAAGGCGACGAAGATTTATAAGCTGTAATCAACGTTGCTTTTAACGATTGCTCGGTTCATGTCGAGAACGATGACGTACCCCTTGGCATTTGTCCAAACAGACGTTAACGGTACCGCGAAACTGAACGTAAGTGCTTTCCGGGAATTTGAAAGCACGGAATTTCGCCGTCAGGAAGTCGCCGTCCACCGTGTTGAAGTTCTCGAAGAGATACGGATCCACGGAGCAGCTGAGGACAGATCGAACTAGGCTCTTTGCTTCCTTTAACATACTCAACGATCAAATGAATCCAATTACCCGTTAATGATTATAGTTTCTTCCTGAGACTTAGTGTCGGTGACCAACATGTAGGTAACCAGTAATCCGTACACTGGCGCGGATCCATTGTCCAGAAAGATTTCCATTTGCAGAGGTGTTCCTGGACTGACGTTTAATTCTCCGGTGACCAGATTTCCTCCTTGTCTGACACCGACTCCCAAAATCGGTACCGGCGCCGATTCGGAGATTTCATCCCTGATGTCGATCACGCTGATACGAGAAATGAAAACGATTAAAACCCAATCTCATGTGACAAAGTCGTCGTAAATTCTTATTCAAGAAAACGCGAGCATCTGGCAAACGGACCGATCGATCTTCAGAAACAGGCGTTCGAATGCAACTTCCGAATAAAAAGCAGGGAACAAACGGTACATCGGGACATGGAATCGTAAGATTACGATGATGAACGGGTTTCGATCGAATTAACCTGTTTGCTAGTGGTAAAAACAAGAAAATGTATTAACGAACCGTACGACCTGGGCTACATCGACAGTCATCGAATCCTTTTGCCGACCCGAATCGCGTTTCTCTTTCTGCACACTCATCCACTGTTTCCGTAAAACAGCAGGCTGCAAACGGTACTATTGTCAGAAGAGGATGATCAAGATGGAAAGAACAGGAACGGGTCAACGGCAGTACGTTGACGGGAAAAGATAAAAGGGAATAGTAGAAAAATAATGTAATTTAGAAGAATCTTTCAAAGGGGCATCCGAAGAATTCTCAGCCGATCGATCGTCCTTCGATATCCTCGATCGCGACGGACGCATCGAATCGAATAGGCATGCAATTGCATCGACTTCGTGGAAGCAGAAACAGTTATCAAGATCGAGAAAGAATTTTCTCCTGGTGCGTGAATGCCCGAGACCGAGGAGCATACGCGCGAAATACCGCGTGATAATTCAACAATCGAAGATTTTCCCGTGCTTCCCGTGCTTCCAAGAATTCCCGGTAACGAGCGTCGCGAGCTACGATTGATTAACGTCGATAAATTAACGCGAGGGAAAAATGAAGTCTTTGGCTGGCATACTAATGTCTGAGAACTTGAGAAGAATGTAGTTTCGACGACGCCACGGGAAGCAGGAAGAGGACCACTGGTTTATCGTACAGATCCAACTTGGTTGCAAGCTAAAATTATGTTGCGATCTGTCTACCATCTATCTACGACAAACTGATATGCAAATGCGTTGAACAAGCGTGACGCGTCGAGTTCGCATCTAAAATTACATTTCGCATGTTCGGGCAGCTGCGTGTACCGCGGAGTCGATGAATAAAGCGACCAAGCCGGCTATCCAGTTAGCTCATTGCGATTCCAATTTCTATCTCTACTGTTTACAAACCACACTTTAGCCTCGTTGTTCTTGCAGCGTTACCGAGTTCTATAAATTGATACCTCTCGCCTTGCAATTATTTCGAAATCGGAGGTTACGTTTAATGAAACTCTGGCCAACCGAACGGATCACTTGCGAAAGTATAATTTTATCAGCAACGAGCTCGGCTTGTCCCGTATAAAGGGTGAACGAACGATAATTATTGGTGCAACAGGGATCGTTTGAAAAGATGATGAATATTTTCTTATTAATAATCCGTACCATCGAAATAGTAATCATTTTATTTCGTTGCGGAGAGCTCGGATAGTGTTTTACGATGTCGGACAGCGACGATGGGTAAGACTGAAAGCTTCGAGGATAATCACGATTATTACTCGTGAAAAGCATTCAACACCTGTCGGACAAAGTTGCTCTCAATGAGAATATGTAATAAGTGTTAGCCCATGGACGTTCACTTAGCCGCGTTCAACAGCTGTTGCATTGACCAGGGCCAATGAACACTAAGAGAATGGGAAATAAAGAGTCAGGTGTACTCACTCGGGTTCCTGAAATCCTGCTGGAAGGACGCTTCGTCGAACCGCGGTATGATTGGCGACGATCGAAATTCCAGGTTTCACAACCACCTCGGTGATAACACACTTTACCGTGAACGTGTGTTTACTGGAATCCGCTGGCTCCTCCACTATTATACGATGAAAGTACACCTTTTGACCCTGTATGGAACATTGTGCGGGTATAATTTCAATGGGGTGGAAAGAACGAAAGAAGAAGTCACGAAGGTTCGTCGCGTCAGACGAAGGAATCGATGGCAAAGATTAGGATGAACATGAATTTTGGTGTTTCCAAGAATCGTACCGTGACTTTGTTAACGACCCTGGTGATACCGCATCGTAACATGTCCTGTTCCAGAAGAGGTAATCGAAACGTGGCGACGCCATTGTTCAGTTGCGGTTTGCAAGCTTCGTCTGCAAAAGAAGACACGTTTCAGCGTGTAAAATTTACAGGTAAGCATCGCTTCCTGTTCGTGTATTTCATGGCCGCGTCGATGACACGCAACCTTTCGCAGACGTTTACCTGGAAAGTCTTTCATTTGCTGCAGATATATCCTCGCCTGCGGACTACTCCTCACGATGTCAACCTCCATCCATTGCTCGGAACATCTCACCTTGCTTTGCACTGCAATTAATCGAAAGCACAGCCTTTTAATCGCCGGTAAATTAGCTCTCGATCCATCAGCGCGGAAACGCGATCGAAGATGGAACATAGAGATCTTATCACGTTCGCGGTGGCAAAACGATAATCGTCAAAGTACCTGAGACGATTTGAGAGGTAGGTAAAAACGGTCTCGAAGAAAGTCGAACGTGACGCTCCATCTGGATGGACGTCGACGGGGAAAAAGATAAAGATGAGTAAAAAGAAGGAAGAAGAAGTCGAGCGTAGCCGCAAACTAACTTGCAGTATACCACGGTAATTGCCCCATAAAGTCGTAAACGTCTCGACCTTGAAAAGCGAACATCTCGACATCGAGCACTCGAGAAAAGCAGCACTCGTGTACGTCTCAGCAGGATCGTTGCCTGTTTATTCGCGGAACTCGATGATAGATACTTTCACCGTTCGCGAGTAATGTCCGCATGATACACGAAAACCGGCGGTTTACATTATCGCGATGCAAGAACCCTCGATCCGGCGTGGTCGCGGCGAGAGCCGGTTAAAATCGAAAAGCCTAAGAGAAATCGCCTGGCAACCTATACAGATCGTTTACCTCCTCCGTGGATAATTGAATTTCGAACGGTGGATCTCGAGCCAGGAATAAACTCGTTCGCCATCGGTATGTGCATTAAATCGACGCCGGATAAATGGCTCGAGTAATCCGGGAAAAAGTTTAAGTACCGATAATTGGGACCGGTCGAATCGATCGAACACGATTGACGTAATCTTCGTTCTAGGTATCCGAACGAAGTATCATTGTTACGCGTACAATTTGACGTTACAGGACGCAGTTATCCTTACAGATAGGTCCATGACCTTGAACTTCTTCTTTCCTTCCTTTTTCATTCTCTTTGCTCTTTTTACCATTCTCGACGTCCACATCTTTTTACTCTACCCTCGAAGCCTTCGCGACTCGTTCTTTCTCGGCTAGCAGATTCAAAGAGCCTCGGTCCCCGACCACTGCCATGCCGAGAATCGTTCGTGTTTCTTCCATTTTTTTTTCTCTCTTCCCTCTGGTAGCTCTTCTTTTCGCGTTTCGATCCGCACCGTCCACCTTACACGATGGTTATCGCGACAGATCCTTTTCTTCCCGTCCACCGTATCATTCATTTAGCCGGCTGTCAGACGCGTGGACGATTTCCTGTTTCGCTTTTTCAACGTCAACGAGCAGAGCGCAGTTTTTTCGACAATGGCATCCGACCATTGTCTTTGTAATTTATGCCGTCGATAGACAGCCGTTTTCGTTATCGAGTAAAAGTTTCGTTCGAGAGTGATCGTGTTCGTTCCGTGAACGTTGCTACGAGCTACAAGATCCTCGCAATCCTTATCCGAGTTTCCTCTTTTCCGCCATTAAATCCGCGAAGCACGCACCATCCTGCCTCTGAGAATTCCGTTCCTCCGCTCTCTACTTTTCCCTTCGCGTTTCGCTTCCTCTTCTCTCCCACTTTCCCTCTCGTCCCTCTGCGCCTATGCTCGCTTCACGGAGATTAAGATCTCAGGAAGTTTACCAAGAGCTCGATGCCGACCTGTTCCCGCCCTGCGACCTTACGTCTCTCCCTTTCCAGCTCGTTTTACCATTTCGCAATTCCATCGCGCCCTTTTCGCGATCGCGATGCACCACCCTTACCCCTCCATCCTTTTTCGAAGCGATTCTAATTCCCTTTGGTTCAGCGGCTAGGATCTTCGTGACGATCTTTGTTTCGTTTCGAGATTACTGCATCGGATAACGCCGCGATACCGAAGCAAATCCGTAGATCTTCGAGGAGGTCCGTGACCCTTGCTTTTCATCCCGTCCCTTCGTTTCTCACGTTTCTTCCGTTCGTTTTCAACGCGATCCTTTTCACCGTCGATAATGTTTTTACCTCGAATTTACATCATGTTCCCTCATCGACCGTTCTCCATTTCCGCTTTCTTTCTTCTTTACACCTATCGCGCTATCTTTTCGCCGACTGTCTCGTAAAGCCACGGGGAACAGAGAGGAATCGATGTAAATTGCCGTAACGTACGTTCCTTGGCATTACAGTAATTCCAGGTCATTACTAACCGAGTGTTAAAAGAGGAGCAGAAGCTCGTAATTACGCGTTATAGTGCCGTAACGTGCTCTCTGTTCCACCGATTTCGATTACCCTGTCATAGATCAAGGATATCGGCATCGAAGGAAATTCCTTCCTGTTTGTTGCATAGATTCTTCCTGAATGGAATCGTGGAAACGATCAATCTTCCGATGACAAATGGCGCATTCGATGTCGCTTTCCTCGTAAGACACGTAACGCATCGAAAAGGTGGAAATCCGGTGCGACGACGATGACGACGATGACGACGAAGAGGACGCAACGGGCATTCGTAATCCATCCTTCGTCTGTCGTAACGTTAACTGTACATACAGCAGACGTACGATTGGAGAAGGGCAGAGCCGGTTAATCCTCGAGCTGGTAATTGAACGCATCGCATCCCAGGATATCGGTCGAACAGGAAGCTCGAACGTAGGCGTGTCCTCGCGCGATGTTACCCCTTTTTGCGTAGATGTGGAGCAGTCCGCGTGAGAAATCGATCGCACCTTGCAATTAGAAACATTGTAGGCAGCGAGAAGCGAAGGGGAACGCTTTCGTCGACGACTAATTAGCCAGGAAAGCAATTGACCGGTTCGAGATTTGCATCGCCGTCGAATAATAACGATCGTTATTGCCTTTTCATTGCCAGCAGCTGTTCCTGGCTAGCCGATCGAGTGCCAGCAGGGATGCCGAACCCCTGTGGATCTCTAACGATCGAAAGATCAGTTTGGAGACACGATATTCTCCGAAGGTGATCGCTTCGACTACAAATGACTCGGACATTTGCCAAGCGGAAGACACGCGATTGATTCTTTTGACATTTATATATACTGATGACGATACCAAATCCATTCGAGCATTAATTTTCGTAGAACGATCTATCCGAGTATCAAGGTTCAGAATTCAAAGCGTTCGACGATCGCGATGATCGAACAGCGAAAAAGATCGGTTCGCTCTTAATTGTTACACGGCACGCTACATCGAGATCGTAATTAAGAAGGCGCGATATTAATTGCGACAATTTTCCAGCCATCCCGGGTCCACTCGTATACACGGCGAGGCTCGTTACGCGGGACGTTAATTAAACGACGGTCTACGATTTCGTAGTTATGCAAATAAATTCGCCGCTCGCGTTCCACCAACGACCATCAACGCGACCCCACTAATTCAAACGCCGTCTCTCAGCGTAATTCAATTACTCCTCGCGTACGTCGGCGTTCCTCGATCTGCACGCGCGAGCATGAGTTATTTTCCCCTCTAACAATGCTACGTTTGCACGGCGCGAGTTACATGCAAAAACACGCGACAGATCCTCTCTGCCCTCGAGGATCGCCTCGAGTTCGACGTCTGCAGTCGAGTAGCGTCTCAATTTTACACGCTGACATCTCGGTGTAAGAAGAAATCCGGTAAAAATTTCATTCGAACAAGCTTTAGTCCGTACAACTTTCAAAATTCCAAGAAAATGGTAATCGGGACCGTAAATCAACCGACGCAACGCTCGGTTCGTTTGCGAAGGATCAACACGATCAGTTTGAAGGAAATTTATCTACTTCCTGTTGCAAATGATCCTCCTCGAACGCGTTGACATAAACCGTTCCCTGCCTTTTACCGATCCACGATATTAATCCGTTATTACCAGCTGCCCATTCGCGAATATCACCGAGTGGAAATTGCAACGAGGAATCCGTTTAACCGTTCTATCGACGCGTGAATGTATCGTATTATATATAGGCGAATGCGTAACGTAACAGGATCGAAAGTTGGTAATCGATGCGAGGCAGGTTGGCCGCGAGAGTGATAAAAGAGGAGCGGTGGTGAACACACTTCGTAACGGTGATTTCATTCCGGTTCCTTTGGTTACACGCCGACCCCGATTACGACCGCTCCTGTCAGCGGTAAATCACTGATCATCGATGATCATTAGCGGTTCAGGATTCTCCAGATAGGACCGCGGGAAATCGAACTAACGCTGTGCTATCTTTTTTTTTTTTCCATTATTATGTCAGTAGATACGAGGCTCAATTTGATTCGATGTCTTCGAGAACCACCTGTTAACCCTTTCGCCTAGGATGACGCGTATATACGTAATCGAAAACCGATATATCGTCGCTACTGTACGCCTCTGTCGCGCGTAATTGATAGCACGGAAGCGATCGATCGTGCGTCGCATAACGAGCCTACACCTGGAATCGTACGAGTCTTCGAGTAAATCATTCGCGAGCCGATGTAAAACGCGAAGTTGAAAGTACGTTAAATACTTTCAGTTTCCCCAGAGAACAGCTGATCTTTTTTATTATTCGAAATCTCTTGTTTGTACTTTGAAAACGTGTCGATCTTGGATCGATAGGATTTGCTCGAAGCTACCGAGATGTTTTTGCTCGAGCTGAAGAAATTGTCGCGGTGCAAGGATGCAAATGACAACGGTGCGGTGTTGCGAAGGGTCAGATCTAGTCACGAAACGCACGCGGCACAAGGAGCAAGGTGCATCGGTTGCGCGCGCCAAATGCAGAATGAATAATTTATCGTGTCGGCGATCCGTGCACGAATTATGCGCGTAGCCAACGATTACCGTTATGCACATTTTCGGTAATCTCGGGAACGATTAAATCGCCGCTCTTGTACAGTACGGGGCTGATGTGATTATTTAAACAATTTTACGCCTCGGCTCGCTGGTGCATAAAACGTTCACACGCGTCGTTACGCGGCCGTTCGACGCGCCATTTTTTCGGATCGCATTCTTCCGATCTATCGTACCTTCGTACGACAACTGTCGCGAAATTATCGCGCTGATGATTCTACGAGAAAAGAAGAGGTGTAAACGAAGTTTCCGTTTTGAGAAAATTCATTTTCTACGATAGTAACGTATGCTGATCTAACGCTTCAGTTTGCTATTTAAAATAATTGGAATAATTTTAATTTAATTTCGTCAAATTACACGGTCGAATTGAACACGTATCGCGAGTCATTGACGAAGCTGGTAGCAGTCGACCGGTTAACTTATTAACTCGTTGCACGAAGCGAAGAACGAGGAGGTTTCGCGTCGTGAACAACGAAATAATTTATGGAAAAATTATTCGAGGATGCTTTGTCGTTCGAAGGACAAGAGACTCCGGCTCGTCCTGTCATCGTCGAGACATCGAATCGGTCTAGAGGCATCTCCAGGCGACTTCCGGCACGCTTTATTATCCAGACTTTGTACCTCACGACTCGAGGTACGGAATACATTTTCCAGAGGATACTCGCGCGCTTATCTGATCACGGAGTTTAATTGTTTCCTCGAGTCCGTCCTTTTCTCGTCCCTCACGGGGGAGGAAATAACGCGTGAATTCTCGAATCACATTTCGAATTACGCCAACTCATCAGCACTTTTCACATTTAATATGAATATGCCTGTTGTTTTATCTTGATCTCGCGTTTGCTCCGACAGGCTGAGAAAAAGCAGCTTCGCTTTCACGCGAAAGTCAGCGCGTGCAGTTTGGAGCAAAGCGTGAGCGAGCACAGATTTATCGCGTTCGATAGTCAAGGTAACGATCGTTGGTGGAAAATAAAAAGCTTTCTGATACACTCTTCGGAGAGACACGCACGAACGAAGTTCGTCTGCGAACGCCCATACGAGAGATTCAACGACGATAATGCGTTTGGACGTTCGCTAGTTCGCCGGAGAACGAACTACACTCGACACGCTTCCCTGAGGAAACCACTTTTTAATCCTTACAAATATGCTCCTCGTAAACTGCTGGAATTGTTTGGAGAATCCAATTCGTTGGATGGTATAAATCATTCGACAACAAGCCTCGTGATCTTATTTTCCTGAAGAAAGCTTGTCGAGTGACGACTCGTTAAATTTGAATGGGAACGCGGAGAGGAGGATTAATTTAATCCTCAGAACTTCAATTAAGCTAAAATTCTTCCAAGGCTGGAAGTTTTCGACGGCTAATCTATTTCTCGCCGGATAAAACAAGGATTAAAATCCAACCAGAACTCGTACGCTCCGCGAACCTTGACTTTCGCAAAACAACTACACGTTAATCGCGTAAAAATGGCGTAAGCAAATCGGTCACGGATCATAAGCGTACGCTCCGAGTTGCTCGCGATTCGATTCTTAATTGCTCGGGAAGAGAAGTTGCGTATCGAGCCGACCGAGAATTCGCGCAAACGCGGATCGTTAACGACCGTTATAATTATTCTGATAATTCCTCGTTAATTCAATGTTGGAGATAGAAAACGATCGACCACCGCGGGTAAGTTTCGTTGAACGGCCGTTTCGCTGCCGTTATTTTATAGCCGGTGTCGCATCTTTTTATAGCAACTTCACTATCTGATCGAGGAAATTCTCGTATACTTTTTTCCCCCCTTTTCTTCAGTTCGCTAATGGATCTCCTTGGAGAAGTCCTTGCACGCAGGACTTTCACCACCATATTTCTACCCCTCTACCATTAAGTCTGCCCGTTCCTACTCGAGATTATGGCACTTCCTTTCGAAAGCCGACGCGATTATTACGTTCGTTAGCATTAATTTTTCGTTTAATTTCCCATTTCAACGGCGAGTTGCGCTTCACGCTCGATCTCGGGGAATCGCTTAAGCTTTCCTCGATTGCCTTGCTATTAATTCCACCGTATCCTTAATGAAACGGTCGAGATCGAGTGCAAAGTTCAGAAGATTATACATTATTTACACAAAGAATAAAACTGGATGAAAAATATTTCAATTCGTAATCAAACGATTGAATTCAGAAGCCTGACACAGGTCTTTCGAGGAGCTGCGGATGAATCGTGAAATCTAACCCGATCGGTTGCTCGGGGCCATGCTTCTTCAATGAGAAACGCGAACTTTGTAAATGAATTACGAATGACTGGCAACTTTCGAAAACGACTCGCGAATGATTAACGATCGCCCACGTAATTTGTACTTTACCATTGGATCGGATCGTCGAGGCTAGCCAGGCAAATTAGGCTGGCGGACGTGGAAGAGGATCGTTTGAAGGGAAGAACGATTCAGTGAAATGATTACAATCCTTTTCTGCAAATTACTACCCTGGACGCGACACGAGGCCATCTTGAAGTTACGTACCAGATGCGTAAATCCGGTAGGTGGAAATCCTTGAAGCTGAACTACCGAACCTCGCCTACGACTACTCGTCATCCTCGTCCTCTCTTCTACCTGACAGAAGAGTTCAACGTGTTGTTTACGTGTCAATCGACACGTACCAGTGGCGATCGTGGCCGTAAAAAGACGTCGACCTCCTAAAATGGAGGCCAGGTACCGGTGGACAATTTTCACGATCAACGTCTTCTTCTTCGAGAAAGAAGCTTATACGGTGAGATGGAGGGACGATCGCGATCTTCGTACGTCAGGAATTCGCCCGTGGGTGCTGCTGTCTGTTCTTCGTCTCCACACGCACAGGCACGCGTGCCCTCGCAGCCCACGGTGACACGAGTGGTTCGACCGGTATCCGCCATATTTGGCCGGGCAAACAGCCGCGTGAACTACAGAGAGGCTGAAATTCAACAGGGGAAGAGGTCAACAATGCTATCGCCCACCAGGGTAAGCCTTTTCGTGTCGCTTTCGCGAACAGACCATCCTTTATATTCCCACCGGAACGATTTGAAAGCGAAATAAATCTTCTACACTCCATTTGGGAAGAAATTCAATTTATCGTCTCCTCTGATGAGCCTTCGAGGACTTCTGATGACTCGTTAATTCGCGAGGATGCTTTCTTGCCGATGCAACTTTAGGCTAATTATGTAAATCGCTTCGCAGAGGTTCGAGCGTTGGAAAGAATCTTCAAAGTTTCAATGTTCTAATGGCTGGTTGCTGGTGGAAAAAGTGTTCACGGTGGATAAGGTTTACGAGGAAATAACATAGGCGATGGTGTGCCGTGGATCGTTAAAGATGCGACGAAGAATAGATAGCCCGTTTCTTCCATCAACGGATTACCATTCATGCTTGGCTGACGTAAAGGATTTCGTGTCAAAGATCACGATCCTCTCCGGTGATCGTCTCTCCCAACACACGACACAGTAACTGTACAGATTGTCCATCGAGGAGAAGACATTTTTAAAGAAAAACCAATCTCAAACGCGTCGTAAAACGTTGAAGTTTAGATGACTGAAGAAAGTGGGGAAAATTATCAATTCTGCAAGATTGACCGATATGTAAACTTTCTAAGTAGCTCCAGGATCGGATTTCCGATCTGGAATCCTGACTCGATTCGTTTACAAAGCCCGTGGACTGAGATCGTTTCGATTTCAAACTGGCTCGACGACAGTCCATCCCCCCGATCGTCTCATAATTATTTTTCTCGCCATTTCTTAGCTCGGTTTGCTGAAAACCGGAGTGGCCCTGTCTTTTTAGTCTTTCCACCAGCTCTCTTGGACGACGGTGTCCAACGTCCGCGCAGATTGGCAACCGGTTTTCCTATGGCCTCTCCCAACCGATTCCTCACTCCTACTCTCACTCCCACCTTCGATTCCCATTCCGCAAGATCCTCTCGCGTTCTCCTCTCTTTCAGGTCCGCGTTATCCCTCAGCAACCCTTTCTTTCTCCTCCCCTCGTACTTTTCGCCGATTGTTCCGTCGTATCGCCGCGCCGGAAGAAAAGAAAGCCGCCTGTTATGCCGGATGTTAGCTGGCCGTGTCGCGAATTCTCGTAACGTGCTCGTTTCGGGGAACACGACCACGACACTGCCACTCCGCCCACGCGATTCGCTTTTCTGCGAACGCTCGTTTTGCATACAAGGCGACCGTCGCGCAATTAAATGCGCTGCGACCTCGAAACGCCTGTCGAAGCAGCGTTCGATTCGCGAGTACTCGCTTACAGACAGCCGTCCACCGGATACGAAGCTACCGCTCTATCCCACGGATCAGAGATAAAACTATTACACCTAGAATTTCTCCAATAAGCCGCAATAAAATAACGGTCATACAATTCGCCGGATATAGATGCAATCTGCTCTCGCGCAATTGCGCGAATACGTGATCGTTTTGATCGCCGATAGAAAGGCGAGTCTCTTGTAACTTTTGCATAATATTATAGTGAATTATTGTGACGCTTGTGGACGACGTCACGCGAACTTCTCGAGGCTCGCTCGTCTATAATATTCGTAATCTCTTTGACTGGTAGCAAAAGCGGAGCTTCTGGTTCTACGGGTACGTCAGTGACCGACCCTTGGTACTCTCGTTATTCCTCATTCCTTGCCACGTGTTTCAACCGATCGCGAAACTCGCGAAAACTCTACCTATCTCCCCGAGCTGCAGCCGATTGCAGCCGATCTCGCGATTTTTCGAAACATCGCGGCGCGGCGGCCATTCTTCGAAACCGCGACCGATTATTACTTCACCTTGCCACGAACTGTTGCGGCCTGGCCACTTTATTTTAATCGACCAACTCGATTCCCTCTCGCGATCGAAAGCGTTTCTTACCTCGCGCCCGATCTATGCTTTTTCATTTCCTTCGCTACGGTATGCAACCGCAACGAAAAGACATCGAAACATCGCGTTGAAAGCGATTTCTAACATTGTTACATCCGAGATACCGTTTCTCCGTCTTTCCGTTAATCAACCCCTTTTAGTCGCCTCTTACGACAAGCAGGGGATACTGTGGGCGAATTCTAACCCCCGACCCACAGGGGTGCTGACAGATGGAGAAGAAAGAATCGAGCGTGGAAAATCACTTTCCTTCTTGCGTTCCCTTTCTTCTCGCGACGGAAAGAATGGAACGAAATTTAAACAATCGATTTTGTCAAAAATAAGGATCTATGGCGATTCATAGCAGTTGGTAATAAGCGCGATGATCGATCGGCCTGGATGAAGCGACTAATTAAGTTTACGCGGTAACAACGCGTTTCCCATTTAATTTCGCGAAACCGGTTCTTTTTATTAATGCACTCGACTCGGCGTAGAAGGAAATCAACGGGTTAAATTAATTTTATCCTATGAATCTGTGAGCGAATAACAGCACGTTCGGAGTCGATAGACGCAATGAGACTCGAATAATGGGATTTACACAGTTCGCGTGATTCATCGTGTAACGTTATTGTTCGCGCGTAAATCACCGCGTCCCTCCCGTACAATGAGTTATTAGAATTTTTACGCAATTCCTTGCTGCTTTTCCGTTCGTGAAAGTGCAACAGATCGCGTGAACGCGTTCTATGCCCTCCTACCGATTCGTTCGGCAAACGAGCAACATCTCGTCGAGCTGGAGATTGAATCTCCTCTGCTGTGTTGAAAATAAATTCTCGTTTCTTAATCATTCGCATAGACGAGCAGAAATAACTCTAATCGTTGTGAACGAGGAACGTCCACGGTTCGCACAATTTTCCCCGGTAATTTCTAGAGAAGGAGAACGAAAGACATCGGTATAGGAGATGCATCGCGGCGAGGTCGACGGAACGATCGCGAGTCCCGCCATGGACGAGTGAACGTCTGTCGTCCTTGAGTACATCCACTGACCACGTGACGTTTCAACATTTTAACATTCACGACACGTTCAGTTCTCTCTCGGAGAAATTATGAAAAACATTTCACCATGGTGGAAAGTTGAGCTCACCGTTTGCTTGCACCACACCGACAATAAATATCCAGCACAGAAGCGGTCTCCAGCGCGATCCGGTCTCCATTTCTATCCGATCGATCACGAAGACACTTCAGGGCCGCGAATCGGAAATTCAACGAATGAGAAGGTAAGCCGAAGAAAGAAATAAACGGGGAAGAAGAAGGAGAAGGAAGGTGGGAAAGAAGGGACAAATACGAGAGTTTTCGCTGGTTACGTAGGTAAGTATCATTTAGTCGGATTGCCGGCGCTCCTCGAGGACCAGTTTCCTCAGCGTCCTTGCGCGTCCACCGGCTGGGCAAACTCGACGCTTTGTTGTACGATGCGTACTGGGAAACGGGAGAAAACGAAGGAGGAAGAAACGAAGATATAGTGAGAAGAGAACGCGATCGAGCCGGAGATGTTCCCCGTGCGAGAACGCGAGAGACACTGACGGGCCTGGCCAGTGGCGGGAGCGTTCGAACCGCACACCGACACGCATCGGGCCCGGGAATAGCGAGCCGGGGACGTGGACGAGGAACGGGGCAATATCTTTTTAACGGCGCGCACGTGAGATCCGTCCGATGGTACCTCGTACAACAGGTACCCTTAGTTGCTGCTGACACCAGAATTTTTCGAATAAACGAATCAACCATCTCGGTTCGGTCTCTCGAAAACAGCCGAAAATACAGTTACGATATCACAGAAATCTTTACAAATGTATACCGGTTGTTATATTCATTCTTCCCAAAAATTCGCAAGACGTTCTTCGAGGTTAATTTCTTTGAAACAAAGAACGCGGATAATCGGGGATCAAAAGTGGGCGTAATGGAGTCGGAGACTGCAACAGTTTCACCCTGATTGCTTTCTGGATCGATCGACGCGACAAGATCGATGGGAAGGATTCTTTCCTCCACCTACCGATATTCTACGCGAGAAGCTGTTCCAGAATTAACAAGTCCCACAAGTCCCCCTTCGATTCGACGTACGGTCCAATATTTCAACCTCCGCGTCGAAGTATTTATGTTGGCTACAAAATCGATGGTGGGCCCGAACGTTTTCGAGGTTCCTTCTTTTATCTTTTTATCTCGAAAAAGCAGAGGCGAACGACGTTCGCCGTGGCCGTAGGCGTGCTGGCCCAACAGACGTTCATCGATGGGCCTTACATGGAGCTCGTCTGAGTCACTGGCCAAACTGGACTATGCAAATGCGTTCGGCAAGCCTGGAGAGAACTGGTCGTCTGTTTACCACGTTAAATCTTCCAGCAAGATGCTTTTTTACTTCTATTTATATAAGACGCTTACCATCGCGGCTGGGACGAGACTCGATCAAACGTGAACGAGACTTTTCGTACATCGACTGAACGCGTCGATGTTTAACAGACTGATTAGAAATCTTATATGAACGTGCTAAATTATCACACGTTTCGGTTATTTAACCCTTTAATTCGTTATTCGAGTGACTCCAGTGATCGTCGGTTTAGAGGATGAGCACGGAGCATCAAAGCGAGGAGAGTTTTTAATAAAAATCAGAAATAATTATACCAGCCTCGATCCATAATTAATTATGCATGGATGGTGGCGAAGGAAATGGTAGTTCGGGTCAACGAAACCGAGACACGTCGCGTCTGGAGCGGGAGGAAGGTAGGCGAGTACATTTATTCAATCTAAACAGCCTTGGGGCCTTATGGTCGGACCGAGGCCAGACAAACGGATGTCTGCTTCTCGTACACGCAGACCGCAACACCGTCTTCGTGGCTGTTCGTGCCTTCTCGTACACGATCGTGCAGACTTGGACGAAGCACGCTATTACCAAGACTCCAGGTGAAAGTGTCCAAGGGTTTCGTAACGAGCCACCAATACCGATTACTTTCGCGACGAGAAATCGTTCGGCTTCGTTGCGATCGGCCCGGTCACCGAACTAATCGGGTCGATTTTTCCTAGCAAAATTGAGAAGATAAAAATGCAAAATGATCGGTTTTTGAAATGGATAGAGAAATTCTCGGTGTCGCGTGGATGATTGCGATCGTCGCCGACAGCATTAATCTTGTTGGCGGATCGTTTTGCGGAAGCGACAACTTCCACGGGACTTCGGCCTCATTAGAAAGCCTCCGAGCCGTTCTTCTTCCTCCGGGATCAGCGTGGATGCTAATTATAAAGCGTGGAATAATGAAATCATCTTACCGCGCGCGTTGCTCGCGAACTCGTTGACTTCCTTGAGAACTTTTTCGCTCGGGCTTCAAGCGGGACAACAAATTCCAACGAATTAGCTACGTGGGATTAGTCGACCAAAGTTATTAAGACAAATTGTTCGCTAATCGTCTCGACCTCCCGGCAACTTAACGATCCCTCGCGTTTCTCTATCGCGGCTCCTCCCCTCGATCATTCTTTTCCCAGCTCATTGATTTCTCTCTTTTCTCTAACGATTACCAGCTAAAGGAAACGATAAAAGAGTTATGGAACCGTTCAATGTATATTTTACAAAAATAAATACACGACGATCAACGCCCTTGCGACACGCACTGCTATGAAACGCAACCTATTTACAACCACGATCCACCTCGTGACATCGATTACATTATTCTTATTTACATCGTTAATCGTGGAACACGGGCAAGAATCATGATATATATTCGTTACGACGTCGCGACGCTCTTTTCTTCTCCCGTCACGCTAGAATGCCAAAGGACATAGCGATTAGGATCAGGAACGCGTTCACCGCGAACCTCGCCGACGAGTCGGCCACGTGCTGCGTTAAAATCTGACACTGCGAATTACGAAAGTGTTTCACGTTCCCCTCGGAGTCCCTCGCGAGTACGCACAGCTCGTACTTGCTCCCGGAATCCTGCAGGTCCTGAATTTTAAAAGACCTCTCGCTGTAGACGAGATCCTTCTCGATAGCGGACTTGCTGCTACCAGATTCCCGCACCACCACGTAGAAATCACCGATATCTTCTCTCGATGTCACGTACCACGTTGCCTTCCAGCTCTTCTCCTCTTCGTTGCTGAAACAATCAAACGTTTTTTCAACAATTCCATTCGACTATTAAGACTTTCGAGCTTTCCGAACACGTACTACTCGATGTCTCGATACTTCACGTCTGGAGTAATGTCGAATTCCGGATACTCTTTCACATCCCTCTCCCCGCAGCCCATCAAATCTTCCGTCACTTCGACTATCCGTTTCTTTGCAAGGTAATTCGGAGACTCGCAGGTGACGTTCGACCATTCCTCTGGAATTTCCGTGTGGGTGCTGAGCCACCTCTTCAAAGGCCTCACGTAACAATCACACTGTAATTGATTTCCTAGAAAAATTAATTTTATATTGCATATTTCATCCTCCTCTCGAATACTCGCAAACGTCTGTCTTCGTTACCGGAATATCGAAGTATCGTGCCGTTTTTTATGATTTTCATAAAAGCGTCATTGAAAACACCGATTGCGTTCGATTCCAAATCGAGGACCTTCAATTTCGTCAGCGGCAAGATTTTGTTCAAGGGAACGTAAGTCAACTGGTTGTGACTCAGATAGAGATTAGTCAGATTCGTAGGTAGTTCGAAGACATCCGGTTCGGAGAGATCGTTGATATCGTTGTAGGATAAATCCAACGTTTCCACAGCCGTCAAATTCCCAATCACATCTAACAATGCAATCATATAAATTTCATACTAAAACATACTCGCTTCTTACTTACATCTTCGAATCTCGTTGAGATTATTGTGACTGACGTTCAAGTACTGAACCTTCTTCGCTCCAACAGTGAGTTCAAAATTGAGCACAGGCATCGTGTTATAAGACAGATCGATCTCTTTCAATTTATAAGGAATCCATGGATCATTTGGGAAAGTTTTTCTAGTCACGAAAGAGATACTATTGTGACTTAGATTGACCCTCTCGAGAGATAGACAATCGTCCAAAAGTCCATGAGTTTTATTATCCAGCCTCTCCAGCTTGTTATGAGAAAGATCTAGTGTCCTAAGAGAGACGAGACCTTGGAACGCTCCATTTGGAATGTAACTTAGTTCGTTGTCCGTCAGATTCAGTGTCAACAACTGCAACAACCCTTCGAACGCTCGTGTGGTCACGTTTCGTATCTTATTGTTTGCCAGATTCAATTCGAACACGATTGGAAGACGTCCAAACGCTGCCTTACTTAGTTCCGTCAGCTGATTGTCCTGAAATCATTATTCCCATCTATTATTTTCTTATGTTCAACAAAACGCGTTGCAATCGTTTGCGAAGCAATCGTTGAACCTGCATGTAAAGATACTGCAAGCTGGTCAGAGTGCTAAGTGCTTCCCAAGGTGGCCTGGTCATGTTGTTCGAGCGCAGGTTCAAACTCCTCAAAGTTAACAGGTTTTCAAAGCTTCCTTGCTTAAGATTATCCCCCAGTCGATTTCCAGCTAGGTCCAAATAAAGCAGAGCGTTCATCGACGGCCACACGTCCATCGTGGGTATCTCCTCCAGCAGATTTTCAGAAAAGTCCAACGAACCCAAGGAAATCGGTAGCTGAAAGATCTTTGTCAGTCGATTGTTCCTCACCGTCAGACTCCTGCGATGCGAACAGAATTTTCCTTTGAACGAATCAGTTTCATTTTATTCGATAATTAAATTTTGAACGAAACGTTCGAATTACCTGCAACTCGGCAATCTGGTCAAACTACCCCGAGCGACGTCGTTCAATTTATTATAACTCATGTCCAGATCCAGTAATGTCGGTAACGGGCCAAACGTGGACGGTTTGATCTTTTCCAGAGAATTGTAGGACAAATTCAGAAATCGAAGGCTGAACAGAGTCTGAAAGATCGCGTTATGTATTTCGGACAAGTTGTTATGCGACAGATCGATCGTGTGGAGCTCGTAGAGTTTCGGGAACGTCTGACGAGGCACCGACTGTATCAAATTGTGCGACACGTTCAGAACTTTCAGACCGGTCATGTTGTGCAACGGCACCTGCAATTATTATTATAATAATCGTATCGCTGCGGGATTCTTATGCACTCGATTCATCGTTTTATTCGACGTTCAACGACACCTGGTTCAGCGCGGTGAATTGATTGTAACTCAATTGCAATTCCGTGGCGTAGGTCGAGCTGTCGAACGAATATCTGGAAATGTTCTCCAGTTTATTGTAACTCAAATCCAGCATCGTCATGTTCACGCAGTTCTCAAACGCTCCCGGCTCTATCTTCGAAATCTCATTATGCGACAGGTTGATTTTCGTCAGATAGAGATCCTTGAAAGACAATTTCTCTATGACCGTGACAAAATTCTCTGACACGTCCAGTACCTACAAAGAGAAACGAAAGATAATTTCCAACGAATCTCCTTTTAATTTCGAAACAAGACATAATTTGTACTGTCCGCGCACCAAAAGAAGGCCGTGCTCCACCAAGCTAAAAAGGGAATCTGGCGTTCGCACCGCCCAATGCTCTTCTAATAGGTCCACTGCGTGAAGAAATACGCGAATGAAACTAAAGACAGGGATATCGAATATCGCTGTGCCTCATTCTGTTATATTTTGTTCCCTTCGCGTATTTCGTCACGCAGCGGACCTATTAGAAAAGAATTGGGCGGTGCGAACGCACGATTACCCTTACCCCTGTGACTTTTTAGCCTGAAGAAGCTCAGCCTTTTTCTGGCTGTGCGAATAGTACCTCTACAAACTGGAGTTGATTGAACATTTGGAAATCGATCTTCTTGATGAAATTCCTGGCCAGGTCGATGGTGCCTATCCTAGTGATCGGTCCGAAAGTTCCTCTACCCACATCGTTGATCTGATTGTCACTCAGGTACAATCTTACCAAAAAACGCATCCCGCGGAAAGTGTTCGAGTCGAGTTTCCTGATTTTATTGTGGCTCAGATTGAGCACTTTCAGCAAAGAATTTCTCGCGAACGTTCCTCTGCGAACAATCGAGATACCAGTTGATACGATTCACCGAATGTTAATTGATACAGCTGTTACCTCTTCAGATCTGCGATCGCGTTGTGAGACAGATTGCACCAGCCCATTTTCGTGAGATCGGCCAAATGTGAACCGTCTAGTTTGTTAATCAAATTGTGAGAGAGATCCAGGTATTCCGTATCCCTCAGACCTTTAAATTGATTTCTTTTCAACTCTTTGATTTCATTTTTGTGAAGATCCAACCTCTTCAGTTTCTTCAGAGGTGCCAGCGCTTCCACGGGTAGAGATGTAAGAGTCCCTGTATAAAAAATTATAGAAAGTTAGAAATCTCCAATGGATTCTATTTCCTTTTTAAAGAACCCACTGTACCGTTAGTAATCTCCAGCTTCTCGATTTTTGCGGCTGCCGCGCTATCGGTGAAACTATCCACCGGCAAAGTGGAAATTCGATGTCCGGCGATGCTGAGGATGCTCAGGTTTCCTAAAATCTGCAACGCTTGACGAGGGAATTTCTCCAGGGTACTGTTCACCACGTACAGCTCCTGTAGCGTTCTGTTTACACCCAGAAAACTGTGTTCTTCGATCAGTCTCAATGGAGTGTCGATGAACCTCAGCACTCGAACGTCCAAAGGATAAAGTGCCGGTCCGTAGAACCGTCCTTCCAATTAAACACGATAAACATAGTGTTTAAATTATCGTTAGATCAAACAGTTGAGGTGCTAACGACGACGACTGACCGTGGTTGTATATAGTAAAACAGGAAATGGGAGAGCAGAAGAAGGACATTACACTCACCTATGTTACATTTATACAAAACAAGTTCCTCGATGGGCATACCCTCGTTGCCCAGATTCGAGAAGGCCAAGCTCAAACTGGCCAGATTCGTGTTCTCGCAGTGGACGTAAAGTCCCCTGTCGCTGCCTCGAACGCACACGCATGGATAGACGTATTTCGCTTCCTTTGGACACCTGAACCGTGGCCCGGGTGGCACGTATCCACCCATCGCGGACAGCACCAACAAAAGCCATAACAACGGCAAGAGTATCATCGTCTGTGCAACGAAACAATAGGATCGTTTCAATTAACGTTTCATTCCTCTCGGGCAAAGTTCGCGCAAAGTTCCCTGACGATGGAAAAACACGCGTTAGCTGAAACAATCGCTCAAACTTGATAGAGGTTTGATTAGTCACAACTGTTCTGTTGTAATCGCGAAACGTGAGAAAGTTTTCCCTGCGCTCGGTTGATCCCGCGTTAGATTCGCGCCTCGATAACGCGCTTATAGATACCTACGCGAGCCAATTAAAAATTTCCCTCGATTCGAAACGCGGCCCTACGCGATCGTTCGTTTCCATTCTCTTCGTTCCTTCCCGAAACCGTGACGCGTTAACTCTGGAAACTTCTAGCCTTACTTTTATTCCGTTGTCGCATACGACAAACTTCCTACGCGAACGATTACTTCAACGCGGATCCCTTCTTCGCGTAGAAAAATGAGAGAGATTTCGTGGGCGTAACGTTGATATCGAGGCGCGACTAATTCGTTCGCGGACCGGCGATCGCCGCGAGCCAGACGCGAGCTGAAACAAAGAAATCATGAAGAGACGAATGACCTCGTTGTTGCTATTTCCTTGCCGTACCACCGCGTTTACGGGGAATTGCGTGCAACCACTGTTATATTCCGTGTACCTGTTTAAACGACTCTAGATGACAATTCAACCCGCGAGATCTGATCGATGATAAATCAAGGATTTGGAATAAAATTAACCAATTTCTATCGCTTCAAATTTGAATAATTCTAGATCGTGGGCAAAGAAGATCCTTGAAAAAAAGCGTGGGCCAACGATGATTTCACAAAGATCGATGCGTAATTAAATTAAGGCGCTTCGTTTATAAAGAGGTCGACGAGGCGTGTTGCGATCGAGGAGAAAGAATAAGTTAAAATTTTGGCGGGAATAGACTACGTTTCGCAAACGAAGTAGCTAATGATCGAAAGTTCGCGAGGCCCACTGACCTGAGAAACAACAACGTACCAGCCATGCTTTATTGCGGTTCCAGTAATCTAGTAATTCAGCGAGCGAGAAGGTAAAAAGAAAAGTGCGGTGATCTAGTTTCGCTGCTCGTTTATGCAACGTTTGAAACACTGCACGAGCCTTCCATGACGGACAACCGTAAATACATCGTTTACCAAACAAACGACTAGAATCGGGAAGTATAAGGAATTTTTTTAATGAAATTATGCAATTCAAGTTATTAATGGATTAACACGAGTGTTGTATAACTTAAGACGAAATAACGAGTGGATGCAAAATAGAATCGTACGTAGAATGAAAACACTGAAGTCCTTTCACTTATTTTGAGCCGACCTTAACGGCGCCGCGGCGAAAGCAATGAACCGAATCACTCGGATTTCAAGCTGCCACCGAAAAAATTATGTTGCACCGGTTCTGTTGACGTAACTTGGCTGTTCGATACCCGCTATTTCCCGTAGTTCAATTACGATGGAGCAAGAGAAATCCGGCGAGGACTATCGAAAGTACAGCTTGCTTGACACGGAATCAAACACGCGTCTCTGCGAATCGTTAAGAAGAAATCTATGCTCGTGAGAAACACCGTTTCCGTTCTCCGATCGAGGAAAGAAGAATAATTGATGCGCGAAGAAAATAAACAATAAACCATGCTCCACTTTTCGTGGCCAATTAATATTGTCACGATAGCGTGGCGAAGGAAAGTTCGAAATGCCTGGAATAATATCAATTGTTAGGTCGATGAAATTTTAATTATTCGCGAGAAGGAAATGTGCTCGCAAGGCTGAGATGTGGTTTTGTTTCTTCTTTCTTCTACGTGAACCGCGTTCAAGGATATTTCGTTTCACCAGTTGTCCTTGCGTTGCTTTTTGCCAGGTAGCATTAGAACAAAAATTAGATAGTTTTTGAAACGCGACGCCGATTGTTGCAATCGATGAAATTTTATTCTGAAGTTACTGATGTATGAATAAAATGTTTTTTTTTCATAAATTGGAAGCGTAAAATCAGAAAAAATTTGTAACTGAATGGGAACAATGACAGCCGAAAAAGCATGTTTACCAGTGTTAAGAGAAGTAAAGTATATCTCTGACGGCGCATTGAAATCACCACTCACCGAGGCTGGCGGATGACGTACTGAACGCACGTGGAACGGTGACAGAAAATTCGATCGCGTTTCTACGTGGATTTACCAAAACTTCAACGATACAAATGTTTACAACGATATCACCTTAATTAGAACATATGAACAATTTCTAAAAATTCAAGCTAATGAATATAAATCAGTACCTGTAAAATTGTATTTTTATCGTGAATAAAATACCTTGTTATTGCACTTCACCCGAATACGATTCTGAAAGCACGATGACAGTCAGTTGTGTTAATTAGAACTTTGTCTTCGAGTCACATATTCGACGTTCGTCAAATTCGTGTCTCCTGTTTACCAACGGTGTCGAAAGGAGAAGAAGAGAAAGAGAAAGAAAGGAATGTTCACGATAACGTTTCACCACATTTCTGTTTTCGAGACATTCTGCGAGTGTTCCTGGATGAGGCTGACGTGAAAACTGAGCCACGGCTCGGAGCTGAAGAGAAAGGCAGCTTGAGAGCCGAGGCCTCCCTCATTCGCAGTTGATATGCCCTGTCCTTTCGTGGACACGCGACTCTCTGACTCCGAACTAAGAATATCTCTAACAGACGGCCACTTTAAGGTTGCGCTTCATTGGTTCATTGGCTCTCAGGGACGTATCAAAGCTAAATTTTTCGTTCCTGATCGAAACAGATTTAATTTCATCCGAGATCTCCTTTTTCTACCCTAATTTCTATCCCTGTCAAAAATTACCCTTGTCAATTATTATTCCAGAAATAATATGACGTTATAATTGAGTGATTTCTCTTAATGGATAATCGTTTCTGGAAGGCGCGCCTACGATAAAAGAAAGTTAACTGGAGAACCACGATCGCTATTGGTCGATGCAGGTGAAAGTCACATAGGACTTGGAACCTGGTTACCTGTCTTCTTTAGGTACCAGTGACATCTGTTGGTACCTGTCGATAATCCTACCGAGATTTTCGATCGATCTTATCGTTTAAATAATTTGAAATAAATAAAATTTTCTTTATTTTCACAATGGCACGATTCGTCTTAGTTTTTTGTCTAGAAGATTTAGACTCGTCGGAATGTCACTACCGATGTAACTGCAAGTATTTTTTATGACTTGCGATATTCTAGCCGGATATTCCAGTTAACCATCGTTTAAATGATAACGAGAAAGAGCGTCACGCTTTTCGAGAAATTACATGCTCGTTAAATTCTCTTAGTTTCGTTGAAACATCGGGAGTGTCAGTGAAGACAGCTGCTGCATCAGCAGAGTATCGCTAATCAAGCTCCAAACTGAAAATAAATCAGGATTTTTAAGATCATGATTTATTCTATACCACTGCTGCTTCTTCCGCTTCGTAAGTAAAAGAAATTCTCTAACAATTTTCAAAAAGATAATTGAACTTTGTTCTACAGGAACGTTGCTCGCAATCGCCGCTTTACCAACTCTTGGTTACGTGGTAAGAATCATTCTCCTTTGAAAAATAATATTTAAGAAAGAATTTTTTAAGCGATTTGTGTAACAGGACCGGCACCGTTTGGAAACTTACGAGAATCTGTCCGAAGAATCAAACGATTTCGATCTCTTTGCGAATTTGACGTTCCGATTCTCTTGCGAAGGCAAACAGACCGGCTTGTACGCGGATTTGGACTACGATTGTCGAATTTTTCATGCCTGCGACGATTCTGGAAAAGGTTTTCCCGTCATTTGTCCAAATAATTCATTGTTTGATCAAAGGGAACGAATCTGCACGGACAAAGAACCGGTCGACTGTGAACACGCGGACGAATGGTAATTCTCATTAATTAATTAAATTAATTTCAATGAACTTTTAGACATCTTACAGACACAATTTTTCTTTAGGTTCTACTTGAACGAGTTGCCATATTCTATGGAAGTGAACGAAGAAGACGATGCAAAGTCGAAGGAGAAAAAAGAAGAGAGCTTGAAATCGCAAGAGAAAGAAGTGCCTTCGGTATTACCTCTCTTGTTATCGTGACAGTGAAATATACAATTTCAAATTTTTTTAACTATTTGTGTCTTGAAAATCAACGCGATACACTGTAAAATAGAAGCAATAAATAAACTAATAAAATATCTGTGAAGATGTCTTCTTTTTGTTACAATACCTTTCAATCCTGAAAGGGTTCGATGTACCTAAGCGATCTTGTTTCTATCGAGAATGCAAGGTTATAAAAAGAAGAAAAATAAAAAAGCAAATGTGCAAGGAAACCTTCATGGCAAACTAAAAATAATCCCGAGACTGTTTGAACCCTGTCGATCCAATATTCTCGAAGTCCTTGAGATCTCTTGATCGTAGTCCTTTCTTTTCATTTTTAGTTTTAACGAAAAATACGAAAAATCTAACATTCGGAGGAAACGAATCGGGGAAAAAGTAGTAGGATAGATGGATTCTCAGACGTTTATTATCGCGAACGTAACACTGGCGAGAATCGCTGACAGTCTTACAAACTAAAGCCTTTACAATTCTTGTATTTCATCATTGAGCACATTGATTACATGGAGACCGATAAAAGAACAGTGTAACGAAGGATTTTCTTACCCGTCACCGCGAAAACCCCGTGGGGTGAAATAGACGAGAGACGATTTATTGCGAGATTTACGTTAAGACACTTAATCGAAATAAATGAATGTCAGAGCGTTATACTTTCTTACCTAAAAACCGAGTCTTTGAAGTCCGTGCTACGAGAAGTACTATTAAAGTTAGACGATTACATTGAGGAAGACTGAGAAAGTTAAACGACTGTCATCAGCCGCGTACGGAAGAAAATTAAAGCTAGCCCAATACAACGTTCATTGTTATTCAGCCTTTAATGGAAACACGACGAAACCTAGAAGTTACGTCTAAACGCATAGTAAATCAAATGCCGTGCCGTTATCTATAATCCTACGAGAGAATAATCGCTATCTGTTACCCTAGAACCCTCGGTGATATTCGAAATCGTATGCAATTAAACGCCTTGAAATTTCCAAACATTCGATATCCGCCTCAGCCTATGCTTTCCCTATTCTAAACACTATAAAACTCTACTCTAAAAATCGTTCTAGTACCCATGACGATGTCCGTATTGAGAGGGCCAAGTGATACCCGGTCCAGTCTTGTGGTTATCGTAAACGTATTTGATCTGTGGATGACTGTTGCCGCCGAAAAACGAGTCTCGTATCATTCCAACGATAGCCGAACCCAACGCCATGTTACTGATCATACCAGCCATCGAGGCAGCTGCGCGTGCATGAGCCAGACCTATTTGAATGAGAAATGATAAAACCATCCCGAACCCTGGTAACATCTGGCCCATCTTCATTTTCATCCCCCTAGCCAGCTCCGTCATGGAGTTTGTCATTTTCTTCGATATAATCTGGTCGTCCAATTGTGGTAACCGAATAATCAACCCTGATCGTCTACTCTTTTCTTCTGGCTCTTCCACGATGATTTTATTCTCATCGACATCTTCCACCTTTTCCGCATCAGAGTCCCTCAGATAATTGTCCGAGTGTTTTTCCAGGAAAGATTTAAAAAGATTCTTGGCTCGTTTCTGTCGTTGTTTCTCTTCTTGGTCCCCGGGGGACTCTTTTTCAAAGTCATAGGTTATTTGGCTCAGAGGCAGCACCTTCAGTTCGTCGAAGCCCTTTTGAGACTCCAAAGACACGATATCCACTTCCTTCCGCGATTCTACGTTCTCGTCCAAAGACCCGAGCTGCGAGTCTGCGTTGCGCGCAAGCTTCTCGTGTAATTTCGTACCGAAAAGCACTCCAAAAGCGTTGTACGCGTCCTCGAGATCGAAGTACTTCACGTTATCGTCATCTACCCCTGGATCGCTCGATTTGATTTTATTCAGAAACATGGCGATGATCTCGTCGTCGTTCATGGATCTTTTAATGTCCAGGTATTCCTCGCTGTCCTTCAGGAATTGAATATCAATGTCTCTATGCTCGAGATCGTCTATGCTTCTTTCTTTCTTATCCTTCTCCTTTTTCGGTTTCTCGCCTTCGGGACGTTGATCCAAAACCTCCTCCATGATATCGCTGATGATGGTCAATATACTAGGCAAATTTTTGTTGTCTTTGATCTTCGCACCTCTACCTTCTCTGAAACCTGTCACGCTAATTCCGACCTCGTTGTTTCCATAGCCTTTGATCTTCAGGAAACCCACGTTCACCTGATACTCGTCCTCGGCCAGTTTTCTGTACCAATCAAGCAGAAGCTGTTCGATAGAATTCTTTCTCTTCAACAGCTCCTTCTCGAAGTCCTCGGTGGACATGTCGAAAAATTGCTGCACCTGATTTTCCGTCTCCATCGAACGACCAAAGATACCGAAACTCGGGAGACTGGGAAGCAAGGAAGGTAAATTGCTGACGATCAGAGGCCAAACGAATATACCCACGCATCTGATGAAGCTGAGACTCAAAATACATTGTATCACTTGCGAGCCGATTCCTTTGCCTGATCCTCTATCATCCAGATCCTCGACTATCTTCAGAATTTCGTATTGATCAGCGGTCAACGAGTCCCTGATCGTAGAATTTAAACCGTCCACGAGGTACTGTTTCGATTTTTGAAAACCCGTGCCAGTCTGTTTCGCGTTTTCTCTAATTCGAATGAGAAGCTGAAGGTATTCGGATTCCGTGATGTTTGGAAACGTGTTAGGCGTTGACGTAGAACTGTCTGACGCGTTTTCGGTCTCGTAATAAGTGTTGAAAATTTCTGAGCTACTTCTACGTTTCCTGCTTTTAACTTTCGTCGAATCTGTTGTTCCTAATTGCGAAGCGTTACCGGGTAAATTAACTTTCTCGTTCGAAATGTCTAAGAGGATTCCTGACGGTTGCCCTGCGTACTCGGGGATGACTCCTTCGTTACCTGCAAACGAAAAACGAATCAGAAATGATGCTGACGAGTTCAGCGAATATAATCAGACGGTAGATTCACCTACTGACGGCGTGATCGATGATGTTTTAGTCGCTTGAATTTCTTCTGTTCCTGAACGAGAGGGAATCAGCGAAGCCGAAGAGTTCTGGTTCGATCCTCCCGAGCCTGGATTAGCGGGTGACTGAGGGATGACGGTTGGCAGTTGAGAAATTCCGGTCGGAATTTGTGGAATTGCCGAAGGTTGAGAGGTGCCTAGAAAATAATTAGCCAGAGAATCAGCAGCTGGAATACCGATATACTCAGGAATCTGAACGATGCTGGGGAACTGAATCAACAGTTCGCTAAGACTGACTAAGTCCGGCAAGGATGGTATAAATTGCTTCAAGATCGGCCACGTAACGTTGTTCGTACAAGCCAAGTAATTGTAACGCTTCGTGCAGTCCAACATTCTAGCGACGTACGGTGTACGATTCGATGCCGGTATTATCCTCCTGGCTAAATTAATTATATTTATCTGCCGTTCGTTCAGATGAGAAGCAGCAGGGTCACTGTTGTTCAAGTAACTTTTCTCGAGCTGTGCGTTCGATTTTTTCAGAGCATCCAACAGAATGTTCTCTATCTTTTGTTCGACATCCTCGAACGCTAATTCCGTAGCCTTTTGATTCACGTTGTTCCTCGATGTCTGAGCTTCCAGGCTAGCCGATGGATTTTCCGCCAGGAACACTTGGAACCTGATGGAACCGGAACCGGTGGCGGGCAGCTGAGGCAAGCTTCCGAAATTTGGGAAGCTAGGCATCCAGGGATAAGATTGCGCGAGCGTTGGCCAAACGATGTCCCTGGTACACGTCAAGAAGTTTCTGTCTCTGAAGCATGGCACGATGTTTTCGATGAAGTCTGCTCGCGATGGGACCGGTAATAAATTCTCCGCGATTTGCACGATGTTGATCTGCTGTTCGGTCAGATAACGAGACAGTTCACCGATCCTCGCCGCAACTGGAGAGCCTGGCAAGTTCGGCAATGACAATTGCACAGCCTTCAAAATGTTGAGGATAATCGTTTCCGGCAGCTCGTTGTAAATCGGGAAAAATCTGGTATCGGTTATGGTCACCGTGGTGTCTCCGTGTTGGCCAGTCTTCACGTCGGTCTCCGAAAGCCGTGTGTCCGAACTGACACCGGGTTCTGTTATATTTTGGACAGGAGTTGAAATGGTCGAGTTGTCGATAACAATGCTGCCTATCCCAAAGTTCGGGAAACTGGGTAACCAAGGGAAGTATTGCGTCAAAGTTGGCCAGATAATGTCGCGGGTGCATAGCAGGAAGTTGTTCTCTCGAAGACATTCGATCATCTTGTTGGCAAAGTCCGGTCGAACGTTCTCGGGAAGCAGAGTGTCCACGATGCTCACGATGTTTCCTTGCTGGTCGTTAAGCAAATCGAGAAATTGTTGATTCTTGATGGTCGACGGAGGTCTCGCGTTAGTTTTGAACGACTGGATCTGAACGGATCGGAGAATGTTACTTATCACCGTCTCTGGCTGTTCCGTGAATATGGGAACGAATCTTGTACCAGACACACTGATCACTGGAACGTTCGTTACCCTGTTTCGTGATTCCTTGTCCTGGAAAGGGATAGCAATTTTCTTCTCCTCTGTCTCCGGAATGACCCGTTCCTGCACCAGGTCGCCGGTGTTCGTCACCGTTTCCCTGATCTCCAATAAATTCTGAGCGTTCGTCGAACTAATCGGGTTCCTCGCGTTCTCCAAACTCGGAAATTCGGGTAAATTCTGCAGGTACCTGCCGATCGTCGGCCAAATTACGTACCTGGCGCAATCTATAAAGTTGTTGTTCTTCTGGAGATAAGTAAGAACATCCGTGATCAACGTTGCTCGAGCGGAAGGCGGTACAAGACACTCTGCTAAACGCAAAATATCGATCTGTCTCTTGGTGAACGTCGTGAACGTTATCGTGTTTCCGGTTAAGATAATCGGCGAACTTTCCGAAGATTTATCGATGGAGATCCGTAGATTCAGCAGGATATCCAGGATCAAGATCTCTAATTCGTCAGAAGACTGCGGTGCACCTTCGCGATTCTTCAAGGTGTAATAAGTTGGCGCGTTGGTAGGGTTTTCAACGGAAGCGCCGCTAATGGGCCAGTAGAAGCTCAAATCTGGATAAGTTGGAATTTCCGGCACGTAGCTGCCGATATCCGACAATGCTGGAACGTGAAAATCGGGCAACAGACTGGAAATATCCGGCAAGGTGGGTATGAACTGTCTGACGGTAGGCCAGGCCGAGTATTTGATACAAGTCAGATAGTTGTACTCCTTCATGCATCTGACGGTCTTTTGAACAAACTCCGGTCGATAAGAGATCGGAATCAATTGCTCGGCCATGTTGATGGTCAACAGTTGATCCTGAGGTAAGAGAGGAACGTAATCCGTCGACTGATCCAAGAATGATGGCGAGCTCGATATACGCGGTTGTTCTTTCAAAGTGTTCTGAAGGACCTGAATGATTATCGCTTCCGGTCTGGGTCTCCTCGTCCTGGTGGCATCGGCGTCCACCACCTCTGGTAGCTCTCCGACATCCTCCGAGAAGCCGGGGAACGGCAAGATCGGATACTGCGGTGTCAGATCGATGATCGGGTACCAACTTTGGTAATCCGGGAAAGCAGGCAGCGCTGGGAAGTATTGTTTGATGAGAGGCCAAGCAAAGTATTTGACGCAGCTGAAATATTCGAATCTTCTGACGCAGGAGAACATTCTGTCCGAGTACTCTCTTCGCAACGCTTCCGGTAAGAATTTCTCAGCCATCTGAAGGATGCTCAGCTGATTGGAGGTCAACAATTTCTTCAGCGTCTCGTTCTTAGGATCGATGTAGGATATCAGCGTCTGATCGCTGGGATACGATTCCAGAGCATCCTGAAGGATATTGTACACCACGGCGTCCGGAGTGATCAATCTGACCCGATGAAGATCTTGAGCCCTACCGGACTTTTGCCCGTTACCCTGAAACAAGTCAAACACGTTTATCTCGATCGGGAAATTCGGCAAATTTTGACTGACAGATTCTGGAAGATTGTCCAGCACGATCGGCCAGACAAAGATTCGCATGCAATTCAACACGCTCAGCCCTTGAATGCATTCCACCAAGTTGCTGACGAACGATTGTCGCTCTCTCACGGCTACCAATTGCTCGGCACATTTGATTATCCGCAACTGGTTCTCGGTCAACGCGACACCTTTCACGCTGATCGCGTAAGATTCGTTCAAAGGCGGCAATCTCTTCGAGGACACGATCCGCTCCAACACGTTCAGCAACTGATCCTCCGTGAATTTCGGCACTTCCGGAAGCACCTCGATCGCTTGCTTTTTCAAATTCGCCAAGAAATTTCTGTCTCTAATCTGACTTTGAAGCGTCGCAGCCTGGTCTTTCCATTTCTCGAGAATACTAATCCCTCCTACCGGCAATTTATCATCGATTATCGATTTAATGTTTTTTACCTTGCCTCCGTGTTCCCCTTCAACCTCCTGCTCCATGAAGGCAACCTCGTCCATTCCGATCTCCCGTTTCGAACCGGCGATCTTCGAGCTCTCCGTCTTCTCCGTTTTCTGAGCATCCAAAACATCGTCGCGAATCGATATCAACTTTTTTATCTGTCCCTCGACGATCGACTGCTGTTGTCCGTCCGATATCTTCTTCTCTTCGGCGCTCAGATAAACGGTTGAACTTTTGTGTCTGGATTTACCCTGGGATTCGCTCAACGATCTGTATCCCCTGTTCTCCAACGATTCCTCGTTCTCTTGGATATTCGAACGTCCGCTCGAGCCTATTTCTTTTTTATTCTTAACGATATTCTCCTCGTTTAGCTTGACTGATTTTCGAAAAGAGCTAGGAATTTCGTCTTTCGATTCTTTCACCTCTTGAATTCGAACACGACTCTCGGAGGGCTTTGATTCTTCCTTCGAAGGGGAAGAAGCAACACCGTCCGCGTCCACTCGAACATCGAACCGTCTGATCCCTTCGTCCCTAATCTCGTCGACGGGATTGCCTTCGCTTTCGCGAAACTCGGGCTTACCGGTCAGCGCCACATCGTTTCGTCTCCGTTTCTTCGCCACGCTAGCCTCTTCGTCTTCGTTCAATACCTGACTTCCTTCCGCGCGAACCTCGTCGATCTCCTTCGCTTCTCCTTTCTCGAGATCGCGGACGTCCAATCCGTGTCCAACTTCCGATCCTGAATTCTGCCCTCCTTCGATTCCATGGCTCCCAGAGGCTACCACCTTTCCTCGTACTTGTTCCGATACACTAATCGCTTCCGTCTTCTCCGGAGTTAGCTGCGCGCCGCCTTTGCTTACGATCGACGAAACCTTCGTCCCGGTCTGACCCTGGTCCTCTTCATCGTGGTGCACACTGCGAGCTTCGCCAGCTCGTACAACGAGTAACAGAAGGAAAAGACAAAGGAAGGAAGGAGGGAAGAGACGGAAGATAGTTGGTAGCTGTAGGCTTCGCGGGTTGAGTGCTCTCATGGTCGCGGTCGAGAGGCGAATGTCTCGGCCACTTCTGTGCCGGACTATGGTCAGCCATGGAGCAGAGGTATGGTTAATACATACACACCATCGTCCAGCCTGTATTCGACGAAGATGCACGCGAGAGTGTACGTACAGGCTCGGCCAACGAGACGCGCAGATTCGCCAGTCTGCGTAGATAGGCAACAGTGCCGAGAATTTCCATTTTTACCGTTGCCCCTCTACGAGCCCTCCCCTCGGGGTTGCGAGGCAATCGAGTTCCCGATCCAACTGCTGTAAACGCATTTTACCTCTTTGCTTCTTACAACCTTTTCTCCACGGGGAACGAACATTCGCGGAATTTTTTTCACGAATAATGGCCATCTTCCCGAGATAACGAATGAAAAACACGCATGAAAGCTTAGCAGAAATTAGGTATCGAACGCGATCTAATTTTCTAATTCGTTTCGTAGAACAACGGGTTAGTTGCTTTAACTGCTGACCGCTACGCGTATCCAGTTCTGTTTCTTCTTGGGACCAGAACGGTAATGAGCCTTGAGGCAATGGTGCTTGGAAAATAAAATGGCAGACTTCTCGCTGCGAGATTTACGCTCGCGCTTGGTTACTCGGTGACTTGCACCTCGTATTCGGTACCACGGTTCAATCAAGCGTCTGTTTTGATTTGCAATCCTCTTAGGTCAGCGTGCGTGTTAAGTTAAAAGAAACAGAGTATCCAATATTTCGTATTCTTTTTACAGTGAGGTTTGCGAACAAAGTGATCTCGCGGAGGATGAAAAGTATTTTCAATGCGTACGTACAAAGTTTCGCAAGGACGCAGTGGGGATCGAACGCGAAACGCAAGGCTCGAATGGGAAGGAAGGGAAAAAGAGTAAAAAGCGCGTGTCGGGGGAAGAAGTGGTAGCGGAGGCTGGAGGATACTGCACGAATAGAGTGCAGGCCAGGTTTCAAGTCTATCTTTAATACACCTTTCTGGTTCTGGCGCAAGGGGTTGGATTTTTAGTCCTTGAAGGGATCGAGGGCAGAAGGGAGGAAAGAGGAGGGTAAAGAATATGGAAGGGTAAGGAATTTTTACGAGCAGTATTATTTTCCAAGATAGCCACCTCCTTCGTTTCCTTCTTCGGATTCTCTTTTCTCTTCTGTCTTTCTTTCCATGCCGGATTCAGTGTGCAAAGCCGATGCAGTAAACCTGTACCGCTTCTCTTCCTTTTATCCGTGCTGCAGCAGCCTGCTCTTAAGGTGTTTCCACAACGCCTTGATTTTATTACCTTCCTCGCTAACTTTACCACCGTCTCGCAAATCACTGCTTTCGCTCTCTCGTTTTTACCATTTTTCTCGTTGCAAACTTTCACGCCTCCCGTCTGCGCGTTGCGTCGACCGATTGTTTACGAAATATTGCTGACCGCAGTGAATTTTATCGAGCGAAAGAAATCGACATCGACTGGCCGGAGAAGTCATCAGCGTCTGTAATTTCATCGAAATTACCAATCTCTGTGATTACCCGCAGACTCTGGAAAACGAGCGAAGACACAGAGCGGCTACTTGATTACGTAAATTAAAACTACGCTGGAAAGACGACTCTACGCGACGGATCTAATGCGTGTCATCGTTGACACTAAGCGTCTATGACCAAGCCTTTCCATTCTCGAACAACGTCATTCGAAGCGAGGAATGTACACGGATGATTACGGGACAGTGACCGGGACAGGTGATATTGAAAGTGGGACGTGGTGTACATTGAACGGACGAAAAATCAAAGTCCACTGTTCGAAGAAATTATTTTTCTTTCTTCGACGTGATCGCGAACAAGGAGGATAATAGAAGCAACCGTTAACGAGCAATAGAAGCGTGAAAAGTTGCGCGGTCATAACGCAACCAGTGTACGGTCTCGATGGCATTCTCGAAAAGTGTTTCAAGCGAGCCGCGTCCACGAAATTGCCGGCCAGCAAGAAATTCGAGCCACCGCGCAGATCTACCGCGCACGCGTCGACCGATCCTCTTTTGACTTCGAACGGCGTCGTGCTCGTTCGTCCGAATCATACGCCGACACGTACGGACTCGATTAACACGTTGTATTTCGTGGTTCCTACACTCGTGACCGATCGTGCAACCATCCACGCGATCCTATACGGTGAAAAAAGGAAGAATAAAAAGAAAGATAAGCGTTTTCCTCCTCTCGAGTGAATCCGCGGTGTCGATGAAGAGGATCACGTGATCGCAACCGGTTCGATGATGCGACCGATTGGCTGGACGCTAACGTGCGCGCTGCTCGCTACCACTTTTCCAAAAAGCGCAATCCTACCGAGCGTCGAGTGTGTTGGTGTCCACACGAGCAACGAACATGAAGAGTCCGAACGCGCGAAACTCGACGAACTGTCGCGACCGATTTCCAAGGACGCCGCGCTGGATCTTCGTGTGCAGCAGCTTCAAGAATTCTTGCGCGGAATCTTCGGCAACGAGAGCAACGTTCAAGGTGAGTTTTTAATACCTATACCATGAATCATCGAAGGACTGGTGTATTAATCCCATTGAAATGTCCGATTAGAGGCAAGGACGAGCAGACAGGCGCGAACGTTCGGTCATAAACGCATCCAGTTCATGCTGATGCCGATGATGTATAAAATGGGAGCGATGATGACCATGCTGACTGTGTTAACAGTGATCTCCCTGAAGGGATTGCTCATTGGTAAGCTTCACTTATAGATCGCTCTTCCTACAAATACATAACGGTTTACCTTTGATACTGTACACCGTGCGCATACGAAATCAGGAGACATCGACGACCTATTTATCGATAACGTCATAGAACCAAATTTAACACGTTGGGCACACCTACCTAATGGAATTCCTTTTCTAATTCATCATCGTTCTGAAAATGGATCGAATTTACGAGAGAATTTTATTTCAGGTGCCATTTTACTGATACTCAAACTGAGCACGTTAATAGCCAAGTTTTCCTCTGGTTGGCAGCACCATGCACCGACCTGGTCTGGTCAACCGATCCACGTGCACGTTCACAACAGTCTACCTACGGCTCATCAGCAAGCCTACAGTGGCTGGATGCCGCACAGTGGTCCCGAAGACGAGGACCATTATTATTACAAAGGATAATTGAGAATAATTGATCCTTAACTGGGACAAGAAACGCCGATAGAACGATTTATGAATTTAGTTAGCAAAGAATTTTCCTGCGTACCAAAGGAACTCTCGAATTAGTAACGAGTACTTTAGATTCGTTTTTATTTAATTCAGTGATGCTTTACCGCTCGTAGATCGTAAGTAGGCTTTAGAAAGACAAGACTGACGTCTGACACGTCATTCCGAATCCAAATTGTAAAACCAAAATTACAAATGCTTGAGTTTAAGCGACCACCTCATTTTTACCTCACGTTAGCAGTAACGATTTAATTTATTTGTAAAGCAACCGCTTTCTACCTATTTACAAGTTAGCATGTATCGTTTTAGAATGTATTTATTAAACTTTTCATCAATTCTATTCGATTTTTCTATCATTTCATAACCGTCGGACGATGAACTCGAATTGAATTTTCCGCGGTTCAAGGTTGGCTAAGCGTGCGTATTACACCTATGATTTCAATTGCACCGACAGACACTGCAGAGACCCAGTTTCCTGGTTTTCTAGTGGGGTAAGCACATAGCGCAAAAAAAAAGAAAATGTTCTCCACTTACTAGATCAGCTAGCAGTAGTCTGTTCGCTGATCGGATGCAAGTAACACGCGTTTCATACTCCGGTTATGAAATATTCTAAAGAAAACCGAACCATTCTTCATACAATAAGATGTTTCTGCTTTGAAAGTTAATTGGCGTTGCTGAGGATAAAGAAAAGGTAGAAAGCGAGTGACGAATGAAATGAAATATTTCAATTAATTTGGCTAGCTGAAATTTCCTTTCTAGGAGGAAAGAAGCCATGAATGGAATGCGAACAATTTTCTGCTATTTCTGCTTTGTGATTATGTTGGAGAGTCTTGTTCACGCTGAAGAACCGAACGACCCGAATGAAAATCTACGACTTGATATATCTCGAGGAGTTACGTTGCACGTCGCAAACAATACAACGAGCATAGTTATCAGAATGTCGACTCTGCTCAAGAGTAAGTATTTAAAAAAATCTATCAAGAGAATCTTTACTTGTTCTCATTAATGTTATGTCCTTTTGATTTTAGAAAATGATGTAGAACAGAGGAACGTGGGCAGATTAGCCTTTAGAAAGGATTTTCTGAGGAGAATTGGTATGACGATAATGATGATTCCGATGATAATACAGGTTCGATACGTTCTTTAGAGAATTAGCGAGGAACAGTCGAATGAATATTAAATTTTCATCGTTTTCCAGTTAATCAGCTTACCGGCTACTCTAGCGTCCATCAAAATGAGTTTGTTAAGAAGTTTATTGGTAGGAAAAATAGCACTAATTGTGATACTCTTCAATGCGCTGAGGAATTCGCAAAAATCGGAGGTGGTATTGGTCCACAGACCTGAGTATCACGAACACTACTACAATTCTTATCATCAACCGGAAGACGACGACGAAGGCTGGGTGGGAAGATGAAGAAAACGCAAGTTCTTCGAATAAAACATCTTCGAGCGCATCATGAACAATGTATTATCGTTTCTCTACCTGTTTTCTTATCGACAAAGTGCGTGAAACTGTGCTGTGACGACGCTAAAGAAGACATTATTTCTGTATAAATTGTAACGTTTTTTTTTTCTTTTTACGAAAATATAAGATTTAATCGAGATCGTTATGACTTCCCGTGTAATCAAACGGCACTCGTTAAACTCTAAAATGAAATTTAAATGGTAACTCGAGGAAACGTTCTGTGAGACCACCAATGGCAGGATATTCGAGCTGACCTACTTAATGCCTCACGTAACGGCATTTCGGTCCAGATTCTCAAGCCTTTGACTCCTACGGCGCGCTGGTTTTCCCTTTTCTCTACCGTTAAATATACATCGAAATCGAAATTAATACAACATCACCGATCGTTTTCAATAAACAACACGATCATCTCGATATGACGAGGCAAGATCGAATCCCATTCGAGGAAACCCAGGATGGTTCAACGTTCGAATAGATGGAATAACGTTAGAAAAATGAGTTCTACTTTTTTCCATGACAGGCGCAGACGTAACGTCGCGTGCTGACTGTGAATCGTTATAGGCGGATATGGACGAATGTTTAGGGCACGTACCGAAAGTCCTGTCAATGTCGAATTTATTTTCCAAGGCCTCGATATTCGCGGTGCGTATACGTGCCAGAAACCCACCTTCCGTTTGTATATTGTATTGTTTAGTATGCCATCGTCATCGATCCTATATCGACAGCTAGCCATACCGAATCGTAGTAACGCTATACCGTTTTCTAAACTACAAAATGCAGGATGCACAACGTATACGTGGCAAATCGGAACCGAACCCGGACTAATCTCTCGACCAGTTGACGCATAGATCGTCCTCGCTCGACTTGTCGACGTGAAAGTATTTAGCGTTTTCAGAAATGCATAGTCGAGTTTCTAATTAGCCGTCCGAACGACGCCACGAGACATTCCTTTTTGCGAAAACTCTTGGAAAATACAAAGCCTTCCTGGAGAATTAATTAATTGATTATTAACTCGCTGCGATACTCGAGAAAGTTTAAGTCGTCTAAATGAAATTTAATATCAATTATACCCTCGAGAAATGATACAAGTCAATTAACCGAGGGAAAAAAAGAAGTAATTGATTAAGCTGACACAAAGCCGCGCGACTGTGTTAAAGGTAAAGTTCATGATAAATCTTCCGAATAATAATTCATGAGATGTTGTGACAGCAGCTCTCTGTTACGCTACGAACACGCGACATTATGCGTCCGACACGTGAAACGTTTCTATTATGGTAATCTAACCGAGCTGAAGATTGTTCAAACGTTCACCAAGACCTATCAATAAATACTCTGTTTCGTAACAATCAAAAGCCACTGAAGAAGTAATAAAAAACGGATAAATAAAATGCAATTTATTTTTTTGTTAGCGCGACATCTTTTCGAAAGCAACGATTTCACTTTAAATAGCGATAAAGATTGGTGGAAATTAGGTTGAATTAACATCCCGGTATAGTTCCAAGCGGAATTTCTGTGGTCGCGTCGGTCCACGTACGTGACTCACACGCGTGCCAAGCTAACAAGGTTGACAATCCTAAATCCACGACGCTTTTCAGCAACCAGAAAAGATCGCTGACGCGCTATAAAAAATTCATTTCGAACAGAACACGGATTTCGAGCGTGTACCGGTTTTGCGGGAATGCAACTGGCAAACCCGGTTAATTTACAGGAACCGTCGAGCCAGGGTTAAAAATAAAATTCTACTAATACCGAAGAAAAAAAAAAGAAATAATTCATTAACGAAAGTACCACAGATCGCGACGACTAGAAATATTTTGGGTGGTCCAGCTCTCTTCCTCTTTCTCTTCCCTATGAATATTCTTCGAAAAATCGTAAGATTCTTTTCGATTCACGGCAGTGTCTCGACCCCACGAAGTGGCCAGAATTCCTTAAGGAGAGCCAGTCGTAGCTCGGTTTCAACGACATGTGCCCACGAAAAGCACCGCAGTGGGGGGATGCCAGTCTGGTCTCACCTGAAACAGGACCAACTTGATTGGCGCAAGTCCCAGAAGGAAGGGGTTACACTGTCGTATATGTTCGAACACACACCTTTCACGACCACTATGCGCCCGTGACACGAGGTCCAAGGATATAAAAAGCCTAAGGTCGGCGAGCAATCGGAAGAAAAACCGCGGGAGGGTTAAGGTCAGAAAGTATACCACCTGTCCGGTGATTTCGCGTGGTGACAGTGCCTTTCCGAGATTTTTCACCGACCGCAAACCGTGTGAACCTATCGAAATCATGAGGATACCAGTGTTCGTCTTGCTTATGGGTATTGCCCTCTACGCTCAGGGTGAAGCGATCGAAAACAAGGAAGAGGAGGGTAGTTTTTTGAACTGCGTGCTGGAGGATAATACGATAGGATGTATGAGGGCGAGACTGGCCAGAGACATCGATCAGATCGAGGTACAAGTGACCGGAAAGAAGAGCGAGGTGCCAATGAGTGCTGTGATCGAGCAAGCTGGTAATTTCGTGGCGGAAGTCATCGACGATATCCAGAACCCAGAAGACGCGGAAGAAGTTGAAGAAGATGTGGAGAATGATGGTGAACAAGGTGAGAAGAAATGGGAAATTCTTTAATCCAATCCTGAGGTGTTTCCGTTGGTGTACGCAACGAAGGGGTTAAAATTGCAACAAGTATTAATGGAGGTTTGCGTGTTTCGTACACAGTGAGGACTACCATCGAAACTTGGAGTATAAATCTATCGAAAATAATTATAAATGAAGAAAAAGACGAAACGAATGGAACCACTACAACTAGAATATTTAATTGATTCATTAGCACGTGGAGCGCATGATAAAATCAACCGTGAACTTTCCTTCGTGCCTGTTCAAAAAAGTCGGTTAACTTTTACTGACCTTAAACTCGACTACCTTCTTCAATCTCGCTCAAAATTATCTTGATCTTTTGTCTACTATTTTCACTTTCGTCATATTTTATTTAGACGACGTAAATGGTGCTACACAACGCTTCACGATTATTTCGTTTCATTTTTATGAATGAATGGTTTGTTGTCAATAGGATTCTCCAACATGTCAAGAGAGTGATTCTTTAATATTTGTTTAAAACAGTACAATTAGCACGGAAAAGTTAGAAGACGTTACACAACCAAACGAATACGTGTCTTTAGGTCAACGATGATCGTTTGTAATACGCTATCCGATATGTCACCGATTTCTCAGTTTGCACGCCATTTAATGTTGCAACTTGGGTAAATTTGCTATAACGGTTCTACGCTCGTTACCTTTGTTATCTTTTCGAGCATGTCTTCTCCTCTACTAGAAAATTGAATAATTTGACAGGCACTAAGGCCATTCAAGAAAATCTTGCTATAAAATGCCATAACATTGTTCCCATTCCTGAATGTCACTGTCTTAATACAAATCTTGTTAAAAAAAGAACTAATCACTTTTTGGACCTTCTGAGATCACGGTCATTGAATCGACCGAAGATAGTAACTTTGCGTTAAGAATCGCGTCAATTTCCCTAGTTTCTGTAGCGATTCGCTCATTAATATATCTGCGAGACAAGCAACGAGGAAGAGAAGAAAAATCAGTGCCATCGGTTTTAGAATTGTCCATTGAATAATTAACCGTGTTACCGGCTAGTATCTAATGATTCTTGCAGTGTCAGGTTCATTACCTTGACGGGAACGTTAATCCTTTCATTGCGAGTGACGCACATGTATACAGTGTTCGCACACCGTTTAAAACAGAATATCTCATTTAAAATTGGACCAAATGACCAAATTACCCTTCACGACAAAAGCACATATCTTAGTAAATTAATTTGTATAGCTTCTCTAGAAACCTCAAGTCATTTGGTCCAATTTTAAATGAGATATTCTGGCTTAAACGGTGTGCGAATACTTTTGCAACCCACTGTATACACATCATTGTAGAATTAAAGTAAGTAACAAGTAAATGTACTGCTAAATCTCTTATAAAATTTTAATTACAGAGGAAGGACGTGGGAAAAAAATGAGAAAGAAGAAGAAGCACTTGCAAAAATTGTTGGGTTTAGCCATGCTGTTCAAGGCAAAGCTGAGCCTGCTGCTTCAGTTGATCTCCACACACTTCCAAGTGAAAGTCTTCGCCATCGGCATCATCAGCTTGGTCATCAACGCCGTCAAGTTTTGGTTGGACCTGAAAAAGTTACATCCACCTAAGGTCATTTATTACGAACACGCTCAACACCAGCATCATTACGATCACGACGATCAAGAGCACAGTTACTGGGGACGATCAACGAACGACTCTCCTCAAGATCTCGCTTATTCTGCCTATACCAAGCAAAACTGATCCAGGATCGAGCTAACGGATGATCCCTCGTGTCGATCATGACAAAATCGTAGCAAAGTAGAAGAATCTAGCTGCGATTAATTTCTTCATGCTCAGGTCTCTAGTTAATCGCCGATCTTCTGTAATTTATATATTTATGTTAAATTATTTATTATGTTATTTATTTACCATGATTGTTGCGCTATCGTGAGCGTTTAAAAAAGAATGTTTTACACCCCTTCTTATCCTCGACTCGCAAAGCGTTCCAGCGGGATCCCTCTTCTCGTAACCAAAGTCCATTTTGCGTACCTGTTCTCGTACGTATTCTCTTTACCTGCCAAACATTGTTAAGTTATTTGTTAACAACACCTGTAAGAAACGTGCAAGCAATAAATTATTTTGATAATAATCCATCGCGTGAAAACATTACCGCCTCGAACCACGTCGAGAATTTCAATTCGAACGGAACTCGATATCAGATCGTTCGAGAGGAATCGTAGATCGTCGATTTATCGACGGTGAATAAGAAACCCCACCGTGTTCGCCAGGTGTACCGGGAAAGTTTCAGCCTCTTTCTCCGCGGAGCCTGAAGCATCGTTTCCTTTGTATTCCTCGCGATTGCTCGGAAGAAAATGTGGTCGGAATTATCAAAGAGTCTCGATACTTTGGACCTGTTCGTTTACCTTTTTGTCGCCAGTGTGATCGAACGATAAGCACCCTGTTATTTATCTTTTCCCATCGAATCGAGGATTTCTCGAATGACACTTTTAAATAAATCCACGATAGATCCACGGAATTTCTGCCGATCATTTCTTCGATCAGATCAGTGTAGCTAAATTACGTAATTTGCAACGGAGGATATAGATTATCGATGCGCGTCTCGAACGGATATGTCACGATGAATATTTTTCGTGAATCTCATGGTCAATGACCAGAGAAGCGTGCAGGGTTTCGTAACAACCGGCCGGCCACCCTGTTAAGTATTCACATGCCGAAGAATCGGCGATCGCGGCCTTTACCAAACGCACGAGTCACGATTCTCCACCTCGCCCTCGAATTTTGACCACGAACCACGACTGCGAACCTCTTTTTCATGGGTCCGATTGGACCGCGGCCAAACGGACCACCGTGTCGCATCGGAATCATCGAAATTCGTGAGAAGATACGCTTAAACATCCTTCCGCCGTTCATTTATAGAATTTCGTCGTCGACGCGGGGCTACGTCGAACTTTTCTTAATCAGCTGACGAAACTGAATCTCGATCCTTAGCGAAAGAAGACTTATTTTCATTCCAACGAAATTTCCATCCGTCCTTCGTGATATTCATAGAAAATTTCGATTCCTTTCAGGGATATCTTTTCTTTGACGCGTAGAACCGTGCACCCTCCTCGAACTCTTAAGGGCATATTAATGTCTCTTTGTTCAACTCGGACGGAAAAATGAATGAATGAATGAAACTATCTTGCAGGAAGTTTTCGATGCTCGACGATACGAACGAGCATCCTCGAATGATCGAACGATAAATATTACGCGATGAAGCTGGGCGAAATAATTCATGGTGGTAGCACGGGGGAGCGTATCGCGCGGCCCATCAGCGGACAAATTTGCATCGGGCCTTCGAGGATGATGTGGACGTCTGGATGGTCATTGGCAGACCAAACGTGACGAACTTACTAATTTCTGGCTACCAAGAATCGGCCATTCATACAATATTCAATATCCTTACGCACAGGTCACTATATAACACCCTTCTACGGATCGAATCATCAGTCTTTACAGGATCCTCGACGACAAAACTCGATACAACCTTTATCCACAGCTCTAGCCGATCGTTCGCAACGAAACATCGATCCCGATCAATTATGATTCGACGAACGTATCTAATCACCCTCTTGATCGCTGTGTTTGCTATCGTTTGGACTTTTCCACAACAACCGAAATTAAGCAGAAGGCCCGTTCCAGAGTTCAAGGTTTGTCCCGTCTTTGTATTTTCATTACATCTGTTTCTTGATACTTATCGATTTTCTTTGACATACAGAACAAGACCGGCGGCTTAGAACTTCCGGCTAACGCGACGATGATTCGGGAGAACATCGTGGACAATTTTTCTTGTCAGGGTAGGATTTACGGTTACTATGCCGATATGGACAACGATTGCCAAATTTTCCACGTTTGCATGCCGCAAGCTAGAAGCGCGACCAGATGGAGCTTCATTTGCCCAGCGGAAACTGTGTTCAATCAGGTGCGATACCTGTCTATTTCCTATCTATTTCATTTCTAACTACGCAATATCATTTTGTTAGGCTACGTTCGTTTGCATGAGAACGGAGAATTCTATACCGTGCGAGGAATCTGAGAAGTTTTACGAATTGAACGAGGCGATCGGCAAGGAAGTGGAAGAGGAGGAAAGCGATATGGAGCAATCGACGAAGGAATCGGATACCGTGGAAGTTATCTCTAACAAACCACCAGCAAGGACATCGAGGATTTTGAAACGGAAGAAGACGTCGCGACAACAGTGATTCTTTCCATTCGATAATGGATAGTGCGAGGAATAGTTTTGGAAACTTGTGAACTGTCGGAGGAAAGATCAGTTGTGTCTCCTTGCCTAAATTAAGTTAGCTTAAACGCTTCAAAGTTCCGAGTATCATTGTAAATCTGTGGCAACGTGTGAATTTATTGTACATAGTAGAGGTACACATCTGTAATACTGATAATAAAAGTATCTATGATTAAGGTAATGCAAGTGCCGAGGCCGAACTCCGAATTCCGAATTCCGTGTCGGTAAAACAGCCCACGTTTGATCGAAAACAGAAACTGATTTAAGCGCCACCTCAATGATAGTAGCATGCTATACCGCGTCAAAATTTAAGATTCAAACTTTTTTATTTTTGGTTCATTTTTTATGAAATTTTTACCAAACTTTTTGTGAAAATCTCCTGATTAAAATGATACCAAACACGACATGGTTTTTGGTACAACAGTGTCATATTCTATGGCATTATATGTATATGTAAGTACATAATTAATCAATACTAACTATTCATTCATTATTATTAATTTTCTTTCCGTAAAATTGTATTTGCAACGTGATACACTTCAAAATCTCAAAGGCATAGTTCCTGAAAAAAATATAACAGAAATTAAATAGAAAAAAAAGCATAAATTTCGCAGCCAATTCGCTCGTATTATTTGCTGCATAATTAATAAATGTACCATAGAAATAATGATACAGTTATTAATTAGTCATCAAATAATAACGATTGCCCAGGTCTCACCACGGGGAGGTTGCTGCGGGTGGAGACCCGCCCTACCTCATCCCATCCACCCTCCATTTATGCAAATTTTTATTTTTATTCAATAACATCATCCTCTTGATGAACATTTGCGAAACGTTGTTAACTGTTTTGCAAACGAACAACAAAAGGAGCATTATTTCTACTCACTACCTGCCTATCTACTTATTTACTTACATTTTTATTTTTTAATTCAACCTCAACATTTTCTCATTTTGATTACAGATCTGTAATTGATAATATGCAATTGCATATTTGTCCTATCTACTTATAAATACTATACATTCTTATAAAGATATCTGTTTGTACGAGCGCTCGTAATTATCTTAAAAATTAACTTAAACATAAAACTTAAGCCTAATTAATCACTGCTGTGTTTAAAGTTACTTATTATATACATTTTATCAATTTACGGTCATAAAATTAGATAATTGTCCTACTTATCTATAAAATTACAATTTGTCTATATAAAAATCTGAAAGAATATAAATGAATACATATAATGAATTTGTTGACTTTGAAGTTTTTACCAAAATACTTCCTGAAACAAACTAAAAAAGATTAAACATAATTTTTAAGAAAAATTTATATAGCCTTAACCATAGACTTACAACCTGCCTATATAAAAATCTATAGGGATTTAAGCAAATACCTGTAATAAATTTGTTGGTTCGATGATTCTTACCAGAATATTTTCGAAAACAAACTAAAAAGGAGTAGATACAATTTTAAATCATTTTTACATCATTTTAGTTAATTGAATACCTTAACTTCATACTTCCTATAAAGATATTTCTCTGTAACAGAAACTGATTAATTGAATCCAGATAAAGACAAAAAAAAAATTAATAGCTGAAAAGAAGATACATTATTAGCAATAAAATTTTACAAAAGTCAGAGTGGTTGTTAATAACTCCAAATCAATTTGATACAAAATATCAATTAAAAGCAAATTTTAGTACCAAAATAAGGAAAAAAAGATTTAGAAAAATATATATTTGAATAAAATGATTTGAGTTAAGAACATTAATTATTTCATTTTATTGTATTTAATATTCGTTCATTTCGCGACAAATAGTACACAATATTTTAATTGAAACAACTGCCTTTTACTGCAATATATAGTACGTACAACCACCACTCTACTCGACTTTATTGCATTATATTATTCAATACACCTTTCAATGCAAATTTATTGTAAATGGGAAAACTGGAAAGAAAATCACGAGTGGACTTTGCTTATGAGGAAAAGAATTTGAAAATTTATAAAAGTAATTTAATTAGCTTCTCCGTAAGTTTGAAACAAAACATCGCGATCAAAAATTAAAACTAAACAACTCGAACAACAATTATCCACTACTTTTGTTTAAATAAAGTAGAATTAAAATTTAATAAGCTATCTCGAATGAACAAATATTCCTTGAAATAATTTATCACCAATCATCACAAAATAAAATCAACTTTCATTTTAAATAAAACTTTGAATAAAGTTCTATTTAAAATTTTATCGTATTTAATAATATTCTGAAAACATTAAATTCATATATTATTTAACAGTATTTCCAACAAACGAATGCTTAAAATTTTCAAAATTAAAAAATGGGAAGAAAAAAGAATGGGGGTGTGGCAGTGGGAGGGAGGGTACAGGGGAACCTGAAAAGAAAAGTTTGACTGCCCATAAGAGCAATCCCTAAGCAAACCCTATAAAACAAACCGAAATCACACGCAACACTAATTTCAAAATTGCAAACATTCTGAACTATGACAAAACATCGGCTGGCAACGAAGGGTCTCACGCCCCCTAGACTTACGCCAGACGCTACATACCACCCACCCCGCCTGGACGTCGTAACGCCAGGACAGAGTGCACCCCTTCGCTAAGAGCGCTACCCGCCCGTCCAACACGTTGCATCCAACGGTGTCAGATTGACGGACGCCCATAGTATAGACAAAAGGACTACAGTTTAGAATATGGTAACATATTTTCATATGTTCCGTATTCTAAAGCTGCGCCTGCAAAGGCCTAGTAATGCATAGGTATATCTCCCAGAGATGGTGTTCACGGTCTTAGGCCGCGGAATCCTTGACTAGCAATGGATTCCCACCGAATGTGAGTCATAGTTACTTCCACTAATTTAATAAATGCAAAAAAGTAAAAAATTTAATAACAATCGCGAATTCATTTGCAACACTAATTTCATTAATTATATAATATGTACAAAAGCGTACGCGTGAAGGCTGCTCCATTATGCGCAACGCTAAGCTGAAAAAAAGAAAAAAAGAAAAAACGCGAACTGTAACGCAACACTACTCAAATCTACCGAATTTTGTAAGACGCAACACTAATCTAAAAAAGGGGTACAGCCAATCCAAGACTGTATCATGGCAGCTGGTCCATAGCTGCCTTATGGACCATGGCAACTCCACTGGATCGTTTTTGGGCATTTCTAATGCAAAACGCGAATATTCATTACCGCAACACTAATTAGCAGGGAACTCTATAAACTAATGCAAAGCAATCGCGTATTTATAAGTCGCAACACTGGGAAACAATCGCGCTAATGTCATTCGCAACGCTATCTTTAACAGGCATGCAATTAAAATGCAGAAAAAGGGGATTCTCAAACCGTGAATTTTTCACTCGCAACACTAATTTCATTAATTATATAATATGTACAAAAGCATACGCGTGAAGGCTGCTCCATTATACGCAACACTAAGCTGAAAAAAAGAAAAAAAGAGAAAACGCGAACTGTAACGCAACACTACTCAAATCTACCGAATTTTGTAAGACGCAACACTAATCTAAAAAAGGGGTACAGCCAATCCAAGGCTGTATCATGGCAGCTGGTCCATAGCTGCCTTATGGACCATGGCAACTCCACTGAATCGTTTTTGGGCATTTCATCATATATCGCAACTCTAATACAAAACGCGAATATTCATTACCGCAACACTAATTAGCAGGGAACTCTATAAACTAATGCAAAGCAATCGCGTATTTATAAGTCGCAACACTGGGAAACAATCGCGCTAATGTCATTCGCAACGCTATCTTTAAGCGACATGCAATTAAAATGCAAAAAAGGGGGATTCTCAAACCGTGAATCTTTTACTCGCAACACTAAAGCAATGAACATTAATAAGCAAAACTCTGAAAAATCTTAAAGCAATCAACATTGAAAAGTTGAATTCCTTTTTAAAGCAATGCAAGAAAGAAACGCGATATTTAAAGTTTGCAACACTAAATGGAAATCGCGATAATCATGCATACGCAACATTAAATTGAACCGCGATCGATATTCATTCGTAACACTAAATTGAACCGTGGTCAATATTCGCAACACTAAATTAAAAACGCGATTTGCCCAAAATCATGGGGGTCACGGGCCCCCTCTTGTCCTGAAATTACAAAACTACAACTACAGGCAAGCACAGTGACAAAGTAGTAACGATAATGATTTCCCATCCTTTTTTGCAAAAGGATGCAAAATCATTAGTAGTTCCCCTCTTGAAAGACAGTTTGTCGGGGCGCTTCGGCATATAGCCACTTCTTTCTTCGGGCGGTCCACCCACCTGAAACTTATATCTAAAGCTCGAGACTTGCAAATTCGCAAAACAAAAAAAAACAATCAACAAAAAAGAAAAATCGCGAAACTCTAATTGACACGTGGACGAAAAAGGACTTTATTTAAGTCGTTGTTCGTGCACACGTGCCGTGCTCGAGCAGAACTTGTGCGTTTCGTGCCATCGCGATCGCGTATGACGACTTATAAAGTCGCCAAAAATTTGAAAAATTGTACAGATAGAATCGAAGGCGAACGGCATACTCCGTTCGTATCGATTGGATCGTCAATTCTTCAAATATATTCCAGGTACAGGTTGATCACGCGAAATCGCGCCTACCCGACCAAGAGACTGTGACAACCTGTCCTGGCCCTACCTACTTACAATCTATCACACACACCAGAAGGTATACTACCTACCTACCTAACCCTATATTTAAAAAAGGCAAAATCACATTCTCACAAAAATTCATTCCACGACCCCCATACACTCCACCCGGGCGCAAGCCTAAACTAGGGAGAACGTCCCGGGACGCCTCCGTCACCCGAGTTTCATCTCACATCACACTCTACGGTACGTACCATTTTTCACTGAAATCGTCTGGCAAGGCTAGCAATCATTGCGTATAATGATAATTACAAAATTTAATTAACTACTTTGATATAGAATATTTCATAATAATGGTAATAATCATGGTAATAGTAATGGCACTATATAATAGTAATAGTAATGGTAATAATATTATTTGGTTTGTACGTTCATTGTACATCTTGTTGAATAAAATATTATTTCAAATTAAAAGTTAAATGAAAAAGTTATTAAACCGACGCAATCCCACAGCCTAAAAACACACACACCATATGTGGAAATTACGTCGTGCACGATGTACTAACACAATGCCAGCCGCTTATTAATTATTATTCTTATGAACTAGGTCATCGTGCCCATTGCCTCTACCCATCCAAGTAGCACCTGGGCACGTGAATGGGCTTTGGCAATAAACACGGAAAGGGTTAAACCTGAAAATCCTGATCTACAAATATGATTAGTACATAAACATCTAACGGGCTAATATTTCACTATTTTAATAAAAGTGACTCGACTTTGTAAATATAAAGCTTTAAGAACAAATACAGAAAAGTAACATTGAGCAACTATGACGCAAACATGGTGCACTGCTAATATCAGCTGGCAACGAAGGGTCTCACGCCCCCTAGACTTACGCCAGACGCTACATACCACCCACCCCGCCTGGACGTCGTAACGCCAGGACAGAGTGCACCCCTTCGCTAAGAGCGCTACCCGCCCGTCCAACACGTTGCATCCAACGGTGTCAGATTGACGGACGCCCATAGTATAGACAAAAGGACTACAGTTTAGAATATGGTAACATATTTCATATGTTCCGTATTCTAAAGCTGCGCCTGCAAAGGCCTAGTAATGCATAGGTATATCTCCCAGAGATGGTGTTCACGGTCTTATGCCGCGGAATCCTTATAACTAATTTGATTAATTAAATAATACATAGGATTGAGTTTAAAAACCAAAAGGATTCCCACCGAATACTAGTCAGTGCATCGTCATATTTACTCTCGCGTCGAAAATTTCTCGCAACACTAATTTAATAAAGGCAAAACTCTAATAAAAAGGAATTTAATGTCAAAATTGAATTTGATATTTTATTAAAAGCAAAATGACTAATTAAAAATTCTTTACAATGAAAAAAGAATATATTGTAAAAATTAATCAAAAGTTAAAACATCCTCGGGCGACTCCCTCCTCAGAGTAACTTTTCAAAAATACGCAAAATGTGTTGAAATAGATCACTCTGACTTGGAAGTCTACCCGTCACGAATTGTCTTCTTGCACATAAATTGTTCATTTTTTCATGAACGTGTAAATAAGTTAAACTTCGTTATTGAATGAATGAAATTTTAAAAAATTCTCAAATCATATTTGAATTTATAGTGTACAAAATGTAATTAAATCAATGTAACAGTATCATTAATATGTATATCCAGTATACAGATTACATAATACTATTAATATTATATTGCTTTGAACCATCGCAATAATTAAGTCAGATAGTATTTGACTTCTATATTACAGACAAACTAAATAAAATTGTTTCGGTATTAAAATATTTCATATTCCACATTTAAGAACTTTTAAGAACATTTAAGAGCATTCATATATTTCAAAAATATCAATTGGAATATGTGGAATTGAAATGATATTAAGACGCGGAGTACAAGAAGACCTAGCCTAACTAAATGAAATGAAACAATAAAAATGTTACTACTCATGGGTATGTATAATCATACCCATGGTCACTATGCTTGCCAAGCACGTATACAACTAGTAGCCCGTGTCGATTCGGACCATTCGTCCTACGACATGATTGGGCACCAGAGGAACCATAAAACATGCGACTCACCGTTCGCAGATATACTCTTCTTCCGACAGTCAAGTAGGAGGATGGACAACACCAGGTAGGAGGCTGCCTTGTAGGACTGAAGTCGTGAAGAAATTCATCTGTAACAAAAAAAGAAGAATTACGGTTAATTTTGAAAATGATCAATTTTTATTCTAATAAAATTATATATAAAATTGAATTTTATAAAATATTAGCAATTAAAAAGAAATCTCAATTATCAAGTGTTGAAATTGTAAATTATTCTATTTTAATAAAAAGCAATTAAGTGACGTACCAAGACGGAAGTCGTGAAGAAAGCCATCATCAGGATATCCAGGAACTCGGCAATCAAAAAATTCATCTGTAACAAAACAAAAAAGAATTACGGTTAATTTTGCAAATTATCAATTTTTATTCTAATAAAATTATATATGAAATTGAATTTTATAAAATATTAGCAATAGCAATTAAGAACTCTCAATTATCAAGTATTGAAATTGTAAATTATTGTATTTCAATTAAAATTAATTAAATAAAGTAATAAGATACTTACACTCTTTCCTTATGGAGCAACGCCCAAAACTCCTCTTCAGTGGTGCTTTGACTCTAATCCCGAATATATCGAGCAATTAAAAAAAAATTAAAAATAAAAATAGTAACGCGACCGTGAATAATTTACGGCGAACAATTGTTAAGACTCTACTTTCACGATGGAAAAAGAAAAATCAGAGCCGCGATGCTCTAGAAAATATTTTATTATACGCAGCAAACACTGACTCTACTTTCGCGTGATTCCTAATTGAACAAACGCAACTCTATTCAGGGCCAGTTCACCCTTGTCAAAATCAAAACATTGTAAGTACGTGCAAACACTGACTCTACCGACCGCTTTGCGCGCGGCCACAACAATTCCTGGAAGAAAAGCTTAGTGAGCAGGGATGGGCTGGGTGGAAATATACAAAAAAAAGAAAACATTCTTCCTATTAAGCATTCGTTAAAGAAATACTGTTATGTGTAAATGGAAATATCAGTGTTCGTGAAATATTTTCAACGAACACGAATATTATTTGAGTTGAATATGGATCCTAGATAACATCGTAATAACGAAATGTATTAAATAATTGTTGATAATTATTCCAATGAATATTACAAGGATAAAAAATCATTGTTAAATACATATAATAAACTATTTTATTAAAGCAGTGGATTTTTGTTGTTAAGACTGTAAGCATATTAAAAATTGTTGGAAATTCTATTACGTAGTAATTTATAAATTATCTAATTCTTTTCAATAAGCAAAATCCAATAATTAATCATGCTTAAACAGTATGTGATTTAAAAATGTGATTCTATTTTAATTTAAACTTGCATCGAAAACTGGATATTATAATATAATTACTACGATTTAACAAAAATAGATTGTTTAAAATAATCAAATTATAATTAAATAATTGCAGAAGGGAAGCAATTATCTGCAGTGGAATACAAACTGTTTCAATTTTGTTCTAATTTACAACAGCTGCATGAAACTACTAGTTAAAATTATTCAATAGAATGAAAAATTAATTATTCTATTTCTATTAATTGATCAAAGAAAATAAAATTTCTCAAATCTTTTCTTCCTTGACCTTAGTACCAATAATTATCAAAGATGCTTACAATTAACAACTAATAAAAATCAATTAACAATCAATAAAAAAAAAGTAATAATAAATATTACTAATTGATTGCAACAAATCAAAACGTTACCAATTCTTTATGAAATTGTGTATCAAACCAATATTAAGTGTGATGGCGTTGTATTGCATGGCGCCATTTCAATATCAAGAAAATATCTGTAACAAATGAAAAATACAAATTTATGTGAATAAGACTTAACCAACAGCAATAAAATTTTGATTCACAAATGATCGAACTTTGTAATTTATGTAAAATATTCGAACAGATGAACTACGCGTACCTATTATGTACTACTACCGGCACACAAGGAAGGACGAATTCAGCACGTCTTATCACTTCGACGTTCGCGAAAGAAATGACACGACCTTCCTTCCCGACGAAGAGCAGTCGGCACCGCTCGGTAATATTCGGTATTATTCGGTACCGGCCGAAATCGAAGCAGGTAGACGAACAAATCTCATAATATTACGATGCTCAAAGAAGTACATTATTAATAAAACAGTAAATTGTAGGAAACAGTACTAAAAACATTGAATAATGTTTAAGAAATAAACGATATAAAAGCGAAAGTAATTGAGATTCTGCTATTCTAACCTCATTGTATATTCGCGGCAAGAGCAAACATTTTCAACACACGTATTATTGAAGAAAACGCGGAATTAATGCCAAAAATCAAGAATCTAGACCTTTCTTCGACTTTTCATTTTATTTTTTGTACTTCTAACACCCGATCAGCAATTTAATTTAATATTTGAAGATAATTTAATCTTACCTGTTCCAGACGCGTGCAAAACGGACGAAGCTTCGAAGAGCAATGATGCATTGCGCCACACTCTGCACACTTCAACCTGTAACCGACGAATCTGATTGGTCGAAAAGAAAGGACGCCATAATGGATGACCAATCACAGCCATTGATAGAAATTTCATATTGCTTCGAAGCTTTAACAGTAAAATAAGGGAAAGGTTCGTTAAAAATTATCAACGCCATATTGAAATAAAATCTCGATTATTTTTTTCAACCCAAAACACCAACATATAGGAAAGAATGTAGGAAAAAACTTAAGATATTAGTGATTTTTAATAAATCATCGCCATAAAAGCAGAATAAATGAAGAAAATATTATTTTAATTCGTATTTATATCGGCAGAATACTTAGTCAAAAACGACGAAATTGGTCATTACAATTTATAATAACAAATTATGGGCAAAATGTATTAAAAACATGAAAAATGTAATAATATTCAAGAAATAAACGATATAAAAGGGAAAGTGATTGAGATTCTGCTATTCCAACCTCATTTTGTACTCGCAGCAAGAGCAAAAATTTTCAACTCACGTATTATTGAAGAAAACGCGGAATTAATGCCAAAAATCAAGAATCTAGACCTTTCTTCGACTTTTCGTTTTATTTTTTGTACTTCTAACACCCGAAAAACAATTTAATTTAATATTTGAAGATAATTTAATCTTACCTGTTTCAGACACGTGCTAAACGGACAAAGCTTCGAAGAGCAATGATGCTCTCCACCATACTCCACCCACCTCGCCCTCCAACGATGAATCTGATTGGTCTAAATGGGAAGACGCAATAACGGACGACCAATCACAGCCATTGGTAGAAACTTCAAATTGTTTCGACATTTTAATACTAAAATAAGAAAAAGGTTCATTGAAAATTATCGAGACCATATTGAAATAAAATCAAGATTACTTTTTTCAATTTAAAGCACCGAAATATAGAAAAGAAGATAGAAAATAACATAAGATGTTAATGGTATTTAATAAATTATCATCATAAAAGCAGAATAAATGAGAAATATGTTATTTTAATTTGTATCTATGTATATCGACAAAATAGGGTATAAATTTTCACCTTACGCATTTCTGAAGACAATGTGGAAATGATGTCAAAAATCATGAATCCGGTCTTCTCTTCAACTTTATCTTCTGTTGTTTGTATTTTTGATACCTAATACACAATTTAATATAATATTTTAATACTATTTAAGACGATGCAAGCATCGATTCGCAAAAATGTTTATATTATGAGTAAATTAGACGCAGATGAGTTCGATCCTCTATTTTCCTGACCGTGGACAGACACCAGTTTCAATATTTTATAATTTTTTGATGATTTGGGTAATATAAAGATTCTTTAGGGCCTCCTGAACACGTTTCTGGGGATTTTTCTATGGACTGTTAGTAAAGTTTTCAATGCTTGCATCGCCTTAAGCGATCGTCTGGTGCGCGAAAAGAGTTACACAAATGTCCCAAGCCTAAACGTGGACGAGATCTGTGCAAGAACTTAACATATTCGACGAAGGAACGTAACTTAATTGCTAAAAGAAAAACAATACGAATGATTAGTGTGGTACACTAAAACAGCATCGTTAGCAACGCTTTCGTTAATCGTTTATTTACAACTGATATGTGTGTCGATATTGGTTCTGTGACTTAATACTAAATCGGAAATAAATTAAATAATAGTAAAAAAAAGAAGAGATATTGGAGATGAAAATTACTGTACACTGCAAGAAATATCTGCAAGACAAAAAGAAAAACACACACGCAAACACACGAAAAGCGGCTAGAATTAAATCCAATCTATATATTTTTTTTTCTCTTTTCCGTTAATTCAACAAGTGACATCCGTAGTTTTCATGAAATTGCAAAAATCACCGAAATAAAATCGGTAATCTTCGGCCTCTTTTTTCTTCTATTTCGTATCTTTGGATAACTAGCCATTATGTTGTGGATAGGCAGCACCTATTCCTCCGTTCGTAAATGCCGATAAAGTAATTAACGATCAACAATTACACCAACACTCCTGCTCGTAAACAGTTCTTTCAAAGAATCCTAAAACACGCATCTGCACCTTGAACTTAAGTACATTTTAATGGAAGAAAAGAGTATTTCTTTCTTCTGAGCCTATCGAATACAAAATAATACCTATGAAAACGTAACGTTCATCGCTTAAAATCATTTCACGTTTATTCAATCGGAAAGTGTACCTAATCTATACGTAAAACTTGCATCGACTTCAACAAATCTCTTAGCAGCAAATGAAAAATCAATACTTTCCTCTTAAACAAGTTTGCATGCCTGCTCTGGGAAGAGAATCTATGTACACTAAGCATCGCAGACGATGCGTACCCTGTGTTGTCCTCGCATTCCAACAATCTTGCCTGACACTTTTCCTCATCGACCTTGCCGTGTCAACAAAAAGATAGAAAGAAGAGGAAAAGAGCTGTCTAAGCCTCGGAATCCGCGGCAAGATCTGCCTCCATTTCCTCGGGGCTTCTAAGATCGATGGCGAATCTCTTCTTCGGGTTCTTGCCTGCCACCTCTGCCATCTTATCCTGAGCTCTCACGGTTCTCGAGTAAAGTTCGAATGCCGCGGCCAACGCGTAAGTTAACTGTCTAGCGTGATGCTTCGACTCGCATACAAAACCGTGGCATTCGAACGGTGATACTCTTCGAAAGTTCTCCGTTTCCCGCACCACGATCATGGAGAAAACCCTGGTGTAGACGAGGTCCTGGACACCGTACGAGATCGTCTCGATCGAGTACATCCTGACAAAGTTCGGCTCCTGTTTCCGTTTCTCGAATGGCAGCAGAGCAACTCCTTCCGGAGACACGATCAGCTTGATCAGAGGGAGCATCGTGTTGGTTGGTAAAGCCTTGGCAGCGGCCACCATGTTATCGACGGGTCTTCTGGTATGCTTGATGCCCCACAGGCCCCTCGCGTCATGGGAGCCCAGATATTTCACCTGAAAACGTTCCCCTTTAAGTCTCCCACGCGTAGACCCACTCGACTAGCAATTAAATCTCCATTGGGCGCCCAGACCTTGAGCGCCCAACGTATTCTTGGGCCCTTCGAACGGCTACGGGCCAGAGTATTTTGAAAGAGATTTAAATTATACCCGCTTAACGCGACGAGACGCCAAAGGTGTAACGTGATTGACATACGAATGAAGGATTTTAAAAGATCGCAACAAGAATTTTATTTTCAGTTAAATTCTTTCGACGCGCGGAGTAGCCTTCTTTGAACCTGCTAGCGAAAGAGGAGAGGTAAAGGTAAACACGGGAAGATATATACCTGAAACACCTGAGGTAGATCCGTGGAACCCTCGAAGACGTTGTTGTCGATCGATAGACGAGATAACTTTGACACGAGATCTTTCTTGTTGTCGTTCGAGGGCGTACAACTTTTCGTTTCTTTCTTCATCTCCTCTACCGATGGACTTTCCTGTAACAAAAATATTTCACGATCAGACGGATGCATTCCTTGACAAACCGAAGAGCAGACAACAGTCGAGCGTGACTCGTGAAACAATAACGCCGGTCGGTACGATGAAACTACGAAGCAGCTTCTTTGTTGTTCGATAATGACTGGGAAAATCAAAGAAAATGATCTAACGATGTTTCCAAAAGATTTTAGAACGTTGAAGCGGTAACTCACTGGAATGTTATCGTGGCTGGAAACCTTTTGCGTTTGTCCAGGCTTCACTTTCAGATGATACTCGACCACGTTCGGTATGTTCGGCGGGTTGGAAACGACTGAGGAAGCCGGAGAGGACGAAGAGGCGATAGCTGCCCGCTCAGGGACGGTGTTTCCGGCCCCTGTCGCCCCGGATAACGGCGCTGTCATCACCAGCCTATGTCCGCCAACCGTCTCTCCTGTCTAACAAATTTCAAAAGTTTCTCCTTTCCTTCCTTTAACCGTAAACCTTCTACCTTCTTCGTACAATATACAATTCGAACATTTTCTAATAATATTTTGCCAACAATTTCAGAAAGCACTTTCCTTGGAAAACGAACCTTGGTATTAGAAGGGTTGCTACCCTTATCGTTTTTCTTAGCATCGTAATCGTCGGTGTTCTTCAGAATATTATCGTTTCTCTTGGTGAAACCAAAATCCTCGTCCTCCATGATGATACCTGGATCCTTTCTGTTTTCACCTGATCAGAGCGTCGCTTTCCCTCCTTCCTATACTTGAAAAAATACCAAAACTTTCGATTATAAACATCGCGTTGAATAAAGATGAAAAATACGCTCTCCTATTCGAGAGTTTTTAATGGCATAAAGGCCCTCGTGGGCGTTATTCTCGTCATCGTTGTATCCCGAAACGCGTTCAGCCGCGAAATTAAAAACAACCTTAAACCGTCTGAAGCCGAACCGGAAAACAGCTGTCGCGCAGCACGTGTTGCACCTTGCGCTCAGCTCGATCGTTTCCTTCTCTCTTTCTTTCCCCGTCTGTTCGTTTCAACGATCGTTTCCTTACAAAATATACACGTGAAATTGTTTTCGACAAACTCCGGTGCCCGGCGACATCTCGCTGTTTCCGTGTTCCTGTTCGAACAAAAGCGAACGCGCGATTTAATCGAACGAAACGGATACCGTCGCGGCACACGGAGAGATAGCATCGGGAATCGTGAACGCGTACACGGGGGGCTTGGTCTTTGAGCGAACAGGAAACGAGTCAGGTGACCGATCGTCAGGTGAAAAGGGATTCATTAACGTATTCCGTCCGTTGGTCGGATCCGCGCGGTGAATCCTGGTTGTGTGCAGTTACCGTTTCGAAAAGCTGCGCCAGTTTCCCTCCACTCAGCGAGAAGGGCGCAGAAATTCAAGAACGAAGGACGAAACGAGTCGAGCGAAACGAACGATCATCCCGTGAAATTTTACTCCGTCTCTTTATTTATTATAGTACAAAAGGTATTAAACGAATGGCGAAATAAATAAATAGATTTATTTTAGAACACCCTGTATAGGCGCGGCGTTTGTGCACCTGTCGTCCAATTACACCCGCGCGTACAATGCTGAACTGTTAACGCGCGCGTATCTACGTAACGGGTGTCCTAAGAAATATCGACGTGCGTAACACGATTGAGGAAAGTGCGAGCCGATTTGTCGGGTAATTGAAAGGACATCTATGCACAATGAAGAAAAAGGTTAAGCGTTAACGGTAACGGTATCGTTCGTGGATGAAATGGAGCTACAAGTATTCGCTGATCGTTATTACGGTTTTCCAACGTTTCCGTTACACCTTGGAATACCAAAGTTCGCCGACGTATCGAGCACAACGGAACGTTATCGATGCGAAAATATCGCCACGGTGACGATTAAACGTCCGTCCGTTTCGAGGGACGAGCAAATAGAAGGACTTTTCGTCTCGGGCTCACGGGAGGGTAACAACGATACCGGAAACGGTCGGTAGACGGGTGTCTGACCGGAAACCATTATGCTTGTGTCACGAACGAACTGCAACGGCGCGGCGCGCGTCTCGCGTCGCTGGAATTTAAACCGTGCTCGAAGCTCTTTACTCTACTTCGTCGCAATAATGTTTCCTTTATTTTAATTACAGGTTAACCCTAGCGCGTATTCGAATTAATTAACGCTGCTACATATAGATCACTCGATAGACGAACAACTCGAACAAAGCTAGACACCTCGTAATTCATCCACGTTCCCTGCCGCGCTTTCTCACGATATCACGATACTCTGGAAAAACACGGAAGAAATTGTTGGAAGATAAGGAAACACGAAACGCACCTTACGACCAGGAAAAATTGGAGCTTTGTTTAAATTCGCGAGAGAAAAAGTCGGGAATAGTCGAGCGCTTATCTTCGATAAATACCGTCCATGATAACGAGACGTTATTGTATCTGATACGCTACTGTCTCGTCGAGAAGAATTCGAAAAAAATTTCACGAAATACCTTTGGAATGCTACTCGATTCGGTCGTTTCGATTACCTTCGCGTTTTTCGCTCGTTCGACGATCATCGACATCACAGAAGAGGACACCACTTAACGAAATCACGTTGCTAGCCAATAGACAGGTGTTATCCCGGATGATCTTGATAGAAAGGTAATCGCGGCTATCTGTTCCAAGTATCCGGAAACATGGTCGTGTACGTGGCTACCGGTTCGTTCGATCCGCGCTCGTTCAACCGCGAAACCGTTCTGAGGATGGACCGATCTAGGATCGGCGGTCGATCGACAGCCAGCTGCGTGCTATGCACTGTCGCGTGTACTGGTGCGACTGAAAATCTGGGACACCGTAGCTCGCTTCGACTCGCGTCGACTGATAAAACGCGACGCGACGCCAGTTGCCACCATAAACGCTATGCCACCACGCACGCGTGCGTCTACGCCTTTGTTATCGCGACTCTCTGATAAAACCTTACAAAAAGATCTTTCTCGAAAAGAAAAGGAATTTTGGATACGAATCGCTAAACGAAAACTAGGTCTCGCGAACGTTTCCTTCGCCAGAAATACCTTCGATCGACCGAAACGAAGAATTCGCTTTGCCCGTGAACAGTCGCAGGTACTTATGAATTTGCTGCTGTTGGACAATCACGGTTCGCGCAATCCAAATGTGGGCCAATTACGAGCATCGTTGTTCAACGTGGACGAAACGATTTATAAACGATCAGACGATACGATAAACGTTTCAAGATCGCCATGATATCGCACTCCTTTATCGACAATTTAGCAACGCGCGAAAAAAAAAAATCAAACCGTGTATTTTACGATTCATTATAATTGATGCTATATTACTTACGTAACTATGGATACAATAAAAATCCACGCGATGCAGTGTTACGTAAGGAAGATAGCACAGATTTGATCGTGTGTAGGCGGTATTCGGTACGAGGATGCGGATAAAAATCGAGGTATCAATTAAAATAATTAGACAATCGGCGGACGTGGAATGAAATCGATCAAAATTTCCAAAGATGAATTCGAAATAACTTGGAGGATCGATCGATCCTAGGTAGATATAGTTGAAGAGAGAGAGAGAGAGAGTTTGTCGTAGTGGTAATCGGGGAGGACGATCGAATTGCTAAACTCGGTATCGTAATTAAATATTTAATCGACCAAACAACGGTAGAAACGTGAGAAAGACTTTCGTGTCGCTTTTGTACGGGACAGGAAAGATGCTCGGAAGTCGAGTAGTTATGAAATTACGAAAGCGCTTATGGCGACTGAACATTGCCGAGCGTGTGAAGATTCGGAATACAGAGGTAACCATCTGACGAAAGTGTCCATTAAAACGGATGATCTCCTTTTGATTACCTTCCCGATGGAAAAATAAGAAAAAACCATTCGTTCATTCTATGCCACCGCCACAATCGGCCGCAACACCCTCACTTTATACATCGTACGATTCGGAACGGGGACATTAAGATACAACACGCGCGATAAGAAGAATCTTCAATTGAAGCAACCTCGTATTAGCTGGCTCAGCAGGAGGGATAACTTTCTAACGCCATCGTACCATTCTTAATAATAGGTTGTTTAATAAAGAAGAGACACGATTTCTTCGTCATCAACGGTGACAGTTTGTTCGCAGTATCGCGAGGAATCCGTGTTATTCTCGATCGCAGAAGAAACGGCCAGACCTTCCCACGAGTATTGCGCGGATTTTGTAAACTACCCGATATGTAATTAAAGATAATTCTATTCAACAACGACACTTATGCTCGCTGATGGTTGTTCAGGGTATTATTCAGAAACGGAGGTTCGAAAAAGGATGCACAACTTTGTTACCTAATTCGAAACAGAGGCGAGCGCACGGTCGCTAAAACCATCCATCTGATTCCACGGAATTTGCATGTCAATCTCGAAAAGTTCGCGGTGGGCAATTATGTGGCACGGTAATTGGCAGTGAACGGGCTTCGAAAATTAGAGGGGTACCGAGAGCAAGATCGAGCAGACAACGGCACGAGATTCGCGTTTTCCGCCGATTTATTCGAATCGGAAGAAAGGAGGTGGTACCCGCAAAACTTCCCCTTTTCATGGCCCTAATTTAATAACAACGTCCTCGAGCGGATTATCGCAGACAAAAAAAAAAAAGAGAATCCTCGTTTCCTGCATCGCGCAAGATCTCGAACGATTTCGAAAGGAGCGAGACACAAAGGATAGCCGAATTTCCATCGCTGACCCTGTAGAAATATCACGAAGGAACAAAGTAAACGTTGCAATCGAGTGAGTTTGGATGGACAGGTAGAAGCCTTAATTCTTACCTCTTTACCGAAGCGTTGGTAATCGGCCGTTCGTGATGAGGATTTTCCGTTCTACCGCAGAATCCCACGAAAACACCTACCTATCTGATCGATAGTATCGGTGAAATAATCCCGGACATCTTCCTAGAATACAACAGACAAAAGTGTAATTAATCGATACGATCACGTTCAATTTACGAAATCTATCGAATTCGATAAAGAAAAAAACTTCTCTGAGAAATTCGATGTACACGCGAATTTTTTAGTAAAATTTAGTAAAATTCTTCCCTCGATCCTTCTGTCTTATCTGCAAATTTCTAATATCGTTATCAGAAGCTACCCCCTCGAAACGTTGAATTGAGAAAAAAAATGATGAACCCTGATTCAAGTACGATCGTTACCAGTGTTTTCACGGGTGTAAGAGCACAAGAAGGATTGCGTAAGAGAAGAATCTTCGGCATCGCAGAAATGGATCCCTCCCCTACCTCCTTGGGATCTTCTCTTTCTCCGTTCGTCCGGTGTGGGAGCCCCAGGAAAGAGGGGCTCTCAAGAACCCCCCCTTGTTCTTGCCCGATCTCTAAAGCCATATATATACCACCACTTCGTGGTAGCATCCTCCGAGAACGAAAACCTTGTCCGTCGCATCGTGAAGACGAAATTCGTAGGAGTAGGTCCATTGGGTCAGGAGCGTTGAGTGCATTGTGCGATCCAAGACCAACGATCACCCTGAGATAAATGATCACCACGTGGAAGGATACTGCGGATTAAGGTGATTGGATTTCCTACGAAAAGGTAACTCGATTTCCTTCTTGAAACTTCAAAAAGAAGAAAACAAAATTGAATTTAATTAAACTTCTAATTGCTGCAAATGAACATAGTACGAAAACTTTCAAATTTTTTCCTTCGTTCGTTTAATGTAAATTTTGATCATTTTTTTTTTAGATGATTTCGCGATACCAAATTTTGTGCGCGCTCTTGACGTTCGGCGCGATTATGCTGTACCAAGCGATGGCGGTAAGTGTCACATCGGAAGCTTTGCTCCGAAAAACTTTTGGATCGCAAAGTCATTGCGATTGCGCAACGTTAACCGGGACACAATACCTTTACGAAAGCAGTGTTGAATTAAAATGAGAAATTATTATATTCATCGCGTTTTCTCACGTGCAACAACGACACAGGGAGGAGGCTATCTCCTCGCGTCATCTTCATCAGGTGGCGGAGTTAAGTAATTCATTAATTAACCCGTGTTGCGCAGACTCGCGTAGTAAGTGCTTTCTCGCGCTCAATCTGCGCTTCGTTACACAAACTCGTCCAGGGAGAATTAATTCAAGTTTCCGTGTTTCATCTGTCCGATTGTGTTACGACGAGATTGAGCAATACCAACGAAACACAATTTGCAAACACCATTCGCGTTTGATTCCCGAAATGACGAAACCGTTCGATGGATGCGACGCGGACGTTCCCCGTGATCATCGAATTTGCAAGCGTATTCATTTCCACCGGAAACGATGACCGTGAACGGGGATGGAAGGGAAGCAAATTTTCAATGCCGTCGAGGCAGCGGCCAGATAATTGAAAATGATTAATTAATCTGACGATTATTATCGTGGGTAACGTTCACGGTACGCGCCTCCGGAAATTCTCTTTTTAAACATAAAAGTTTCCGACTTTTCAATGTACTAAACCCGCCCCTTCTTTCCAACGATGTATCTCGAAAGATTGAACGAAACCCTGACCTATCTTAATTGCGCTTCGACTGTTGATGAGCGACGTGTTTATCTTTCTACATTTTTTTTATTAAAATTATCAGTCATGTCGAGAGGGTGGAGGCCGTGTTTTGCGGTCGCGCGCGCCTACCATTGGACGGAAGATCGAATACAAAGGCAGAGAGATGCGCATCCGCTTGCGGGGAACAATGTAACCCGACTTCCGGTCAGACATCGGCACGTACACGCACCGGACTGGCTCGATCCAACTCGCTCGTTTCGTGTGTCGCAACGGCCTCATTTTTTTTCTTCTTCTTCTTCTTCTTCTTCTTCTTCTCATTTTGACCGATCGCCAATTGCGAAAAAGATCTCACGGAGAGATCCCCTTGGACGGTAGCCTCTCTGGGGTTTACACGTTGTTTAGGAGCTCTTCGGATCGTTAGCCACCGTACAAGAAACAAAAACACCAGTTTAAACCGTAGAACTCTTTATTTCTCGCACCGGAAATGCATTCGTCCGGTTGACTTTGGTTCGTTGTTAAAAGGATCAATATTCACTGTTAAACGCGTTGGTCGAAGTGTTAACGAGGTAATTAGTAGCCGGTGGTTTGCAAGCAACCATGGCGTATGCTGCAGCCAAAGGAAACGCGACTCAAAGCGTGCATCCTCCTTTGGTCCACGTTCTATTGTGAACGATAGATGACGAAAGCTATACTCTTTCGACAGAGTTACAAGAGAATTGCAATGCAAATAACAAGTTGCACTTCTCGGCTAATTGCCTTTGTTTCCGAGTGAAATCGAGAAGTAATTCACACAACTGTTTGCTCCTATGAATTTTCATAAAATGATAATTCGATCGTCCCGAATCCGGCGGAGATGTTAATCTCCTCGAACGCGGGAAACGCGTTACGCCGGGGCTGTAACTAATTTCTACCGAGTAATTAATATTAATGAAATTATTACTAAGTTAAGCAGCAACCTTTATCGACACGTTTCAGCAAGTAGACGGTTACACGCCTGGCGTAGATTACCCGATCTACGATTCCGTACCTTTCGGCCTTACGTTTACCTGCGGAGGCAAGTTACCTGGCTATTACGCCGATCCCGAAGCGAGATGTCAGGTGAGTTCACCCGACAATCTTTAACACTGATCCAGCTTTACCTGTAACAAAAGAACGAACCATCATTTCAATCCTTTTACCGATATTGTTTCAGGTTTGGCATTGGTGTTTGCCAAATGGACGTCAATTTAGCTTCCTCTGTCCAAACGGCACGGTTTTCAGCCAGTCGGCCCGCGTCTGTGACTGGTGGTTCAAAGTATAATCAATCCTCATTTCTTCCTTATTTATCCCTCGTTATTCAAATGCTATTCAACCGATCTTTTTCTTATACCTGTAGGTCGATTGCAACGACTCGCCAAGATTGTACGGCATCAACGATGACCTGTACAGAGACGTGAACGGGAACAAGATCTAACGCTAGTCGCAGTATCCAGTGAACATTTAAACGCCCGTTAAAGAGGAAATTCCTGTACAGTCAGTTTGAGAAAGGAGAGATAACTTTAGAAGAAGCGAGAATCGTTGAACTGATCGTGAGTTCCTAGCTTGCCGGCGGAGACAGCGTCGAAGCAGCGCGCTGCAATACTCTCTGATGCTAAATTACACGAGCGACGATCCAGATAGACTCTCAACAGGATCCATCACGCATGCCGACAATTTCCATAGAATCGTTCAAATACAACCGCGAAATCTCCTCCATACGACAGACAATAGAAATTTAACATTAATCGCCTTATATATACAACTGAATTCGATTCTTCAATAAAGAATAACAGATGCATTAATTTCCAACCGTGTAACAAGACCGTGTTCGATCAGATTTTTCATTTCATAATCGACTACGTTTCTTCGTCCCCGTAAAAACATGCTAAATGAGAAGCGTGTTTGCAGCGAGTAAAAAGAAGGTTCGTGCAACGATCACTCGCACGAGTCGAAATCGCATCGAACAATTTCTTGGCATGATTGGACAATAGAAAGTGAGTGGTCGTCGCGAACGGCCACTACCTTCCCTACCTTTTCTCCGTCAAACCTTGCCTTCGAAATCAACTGATCTATGTTTTGCATGCATCTCTATTTTTTCCTCTCTGCTTTTCGATCGCATTCGAAATCGTTAGAGAATCGAGGAACGAAATCCAAGAGAAAGGGAAATTTCAATCGATGGGTCATTAGGTAAATGAGTAGAAATTTGACGCGCCCATTTACGAAACTCCGACTTTCGATTAGAGGACACATTTTTAGAGCAGCAAGGCCAAAGTCACCGGGTGGCGCCGATTATTCCAACTGCGTCCCACTGCGGCGACGATGCGGGCATAATAAAGAAAATATATCGATTGCATCGTCGTAGCTTCTGCTTCCGTGGTAATCGCGACGCGTCTCTTGGACATTCAAATTTGCATAGAACCTTCTAGCAAACTCGTATAACGCGTTGAGGAGCCGCGTCGAGACGCTCCTCGAGTGGATCATCGGCGCAAATATCACGGGCCTACCTTACGCCCCGTCCTGAAATTCTCGACGATCCTGTTCGAAAGATCAACAGGCGTGACGCGAACCTGTCGCTGAAGCGGGACACCTTCGGAGCAGCGCGTGTTGAATTTTGCAACTTTGCTTCGAACCGAACCGAACCGAACCGAACGAGAGTCTCGTCTTGCTGGCTGGACAACAACCTCCGCGTGGACGCGACCTCATTTCCAGAAGAAAAATATGAGAGAAAAAAAAAGAAGGGCGCTGCACGCGTCGACCTTGAGTATCGAGAAAGAAAGGATTCGACGTCCTTAGGGAAAGCGATGAACTTGGGAGAAGCGGACGTGATAAACTTCTTCTCGTTAATTCCTTTAAACAAACTGTTTCATCACGGATTTCCTCGAACAAGAGGAAAGAATGCTTTCTTCGGTAGCAACAACTCTATTCGCCGGACGCCTTCGACCCTGAAGGTGATTTATTGAAAAATCCAATCGTCTCGGTGGCATGGCGTGTTCGATTGCGAAAGACGATCGTCTCGCAAGCGTCACGGGATGAGGAACTTCCTATTTCTTCAGAGCCGAGGGAACAACGCGCGGTAGATCTTGATCGATATCATCGGAGGATCTTCGAGGCGCGATAAACTCGATTCGCGACTTTTGTCCTCGTCGATTCGCTTTCACCCGATTTCTGCCGTTTGAAGGATACGCGGATAATTTGTCGAGTGGGTTTGATCGTCGAAGGAGGA